ACCTTGGAGCAATAGTGTTAGGACAACCGAAGAATGCTATGAGTGGATTCGGAATCCAAGCACCATATCTCACGAGCTCAAATGTGGATAGAAATGTACCCTTTCAAGAAGCCAGGAGAAGGAAAAGGAATTGACGATAGTCATACCACTTGAGATCACCTGTCTAGCTTTGACGAGCCTGTAATATCGAGGAGATGCGCGCCTCTCAATGCCCTCGATGGCAGTATACCTGCCAACGACGTTCCCGAAGTAGATGATGGTAGAGTCAGACTTGATCCATATGCGAAGGTCGTGCCTGATCCGGAAATCGTACATTCAGAGGAAGAAGGAGCCACGGAGAAAATAACGAGGTCAAATGGTATCTCTTTCAATGGGCCTCGCATCAACAATCACAGAATATGAACATCTGTGAACATTAGGTACCTCCCAATGTCCGCTATACTGGAACTGTCGGCCGAGGCTGGTTGAGAGAGCGGCACCAAGGACGTTCTGTGGCTATACCTCGGCGATGCTGTAACTAAAATGCGGTCGAAGTGTTCAATAAGATGGTTCTCTGTACCTCAGTATGTCTCAGGATCTGTATGGGGCCTAGTATTATTGTCGATGTTTTGGCAGTTATCAACCAACTAGTAGTACGAAAGGCTTGTTCAGTGTGTGTTTAGCCATTGAGCTTCCCTTGTAATGTGAAAATACAGCGTTATGCACATGTCTAAGATATATACTACTAGTAGTATCGGTATAAGTAGAGTATCGACAGATAATACGTATGCGAGTGTCATCCTGTCCGCACACTAGGTGTCCTCTTTCAACCTGATAGATTAAAAAGTCCATCTTCACAACCAGCTCTCTTAATTTTTTTTTTTTTTTTTTTTTTTTTTTTTTTTTTTTTTTGTAGACGATAATTGAGGTTATATTCAATACAGTGACCGATGTCATAATTATACTTAGTTATACAAAGACAGGAGACCCATTGTCGTGTCAACAAAGGTTGATGTGTGGATATATATGTTGCTAAGTGCGCAATACCTGGACTTCACTCAATTGAGCCTTCTGATTTTCTTGACAAGTGTGTCACTCCCTAACATGAGTGGAATAACTTCCTTACTGTCGCGAGAAATCTGCCACTTTCTCCTGCCCAAAATGCCCCAGAGCCCTTACTGCGGACATGCTCTACCACACTGCATATGACCGAGTGACACGATCCTGTACTTCCCCAAACCCCATCCCCAACTTGTGGCCTCAACACAACTCATCACTACAATCACCTCAATAAGCACATCAATCTCAATTACAAACACAAGTCTCTCTACAATTTATACGCGACAGCCAGATACATCTTCGCCTCATCGACCAACACCCCCTCCGCACCCGCCTCCTCAGCAAACCTCTTGACAAACAACCTCTTCGCCTCATCCCTCACCCCTGAATCACCAAAATTCCGAAACATCGGACTAGAAACAGCCCTTTCAAACACCTCTCCAGCATCAGCAACACTATACACACGATCCTGAAACGACTCCGTCAAGAAAACCGTCTTCACCACCAGCCCAGCCCCCTCTAGAATCTCCCTCAAAGACCATTCCCCTTGTACCCAACTCTCATCCCACACCAACCCCATCCCCAAATCACCACTGATTCTCTTAAAGATCCGACTAGGGACATGAACATCTCTCGCCGCCACATCCGTCACGATCCTCCCACCAGGCTTCAACCACCGCATCCAGCCCCTAACCGCCCTCCCGGGGTCAGGCAATAACACCAACGCCGCAGCACAAGTAATCAGATCGAAGCCCTCCTCTCCGGGAGGAAGCATACTCTCTAGTCCGACACCCGATAAGTGAGAGATATCATGTTGAAGGAACGTCACATTTGAACCAGTCTGCTGGGCCTTGTGACGCGCTACATCCAGCATGCCGGGACTGATGTCGACTCCGACAACGAGGCCGGGTTTGCCGACGGCTTGCTCAGCAAGAAAGGATACGAGTCCTGTGCCGCAGGCGAGGTCGAGCACGGATTCGCCTTCGCGGGGTGCTGCGGTGCGGATGTATGCTTCTGCTAGGGCGCCGTGTTGGGAGGTGTCGTAGTTGGGGCTGCGCTCGTCGTAGATAGATTGGATAATGGATGTTTGGGACGAGGACATGGCTGATAGTAGTAACTAAAAGGGATGTGACAGTATTTGGTCCTGATGCTATTGAGGATGAAGGAGCCCACAAAAGTTGACGTCAAATCCCCTGGGTGATAGCCATATATACAAGTGAAGATTGTGTCGCTTATGTCCGGTAACTCCGTCTGTGAGGTCATACTAGGTGCTGTCTCTTCCATCCTGGACTTAATGCATCGGAATAGTGACAGCCGTTAACAATACGTAAGGTTATTAACAATGCAGCTTGCTCATCGTGCTCTTTTGGAGGTAGTGATTGGTACAATGAGGTATAGTCATCGTCAGGCTACTTCATGCTCGGACCATACTACTCCGGACAACCTTGTATGATCGCTCTCAACCTCTTCCTCCGGATGTTTACATTTGGGACTTCGAATAGAAGGGTAAATATCAAAACACTTAAGATTGTAGTCACCTCATTTATTATGATAATATTTCGACAGTCACACTTTGCAGTGGTTCTCTAGGACTGCCCGTTTCAGGAAGAACGACCAGCCGGCGTCAACCAACGCTCAATTTCCATTACTACTATCCTATCATTTGGAGTGTTACTTCCAAGTACTTACTCAAGTAGAACCTCTCCTAGAGACTGATATCTATTCTACCACATCTTCTCCCACCACCTTCTCGCCCAATGCATCTTTGCCAACTCCGCCCTCCGCCGCTCCAAGAACCCTCCATCTTCCCAAACCCGACACTCAGCGTCGACCTCAGCCTTGCCAGAAAATATATCAGCCTTTGCCGGATCCACCCACTTCGTGCCCTGATACACCTTCCAAAACAGGAACATGACGGCCCAGAACGCCACGCCGAAGTACGAAGTGATAAACCCCTCGACACTGAACGGGACAAACACCGTGAACCCATTAAACAGCGTCACCAAGCACCCAATGATCAATGCCACGATAGCTGCGTACGGCTGACACGGTGACGCCCAGGGGAGGAATGTCTTCCGATCGATGCCCTGTGCCTTGAGCGCACGATACCAGGCTAGGAAAACACAGACCATGCCGGTGTAGGTGAGGATAAAGGCGGTGGTCGTGAGGTCGACGAACCAGTAGAAGACCGTGACGGCAGAGGTATCGGCGACGAGGAATGTGATGCAAGAGAGGAGGGAGACGACGAGAACGCAGTTGATGGGGACTCCGGCGGAGGTACATTTCAGGAGAAAGGCAGGGGCTTGGTGATCGCGTGCGAGCGAGTAGAGGGTGCGGCTGGAGCTGTAGAGGTAGGCATTTCCGCAGGACCAGCCGGCTAGGAGGATGAGAAAGTTGATGAAGCCGGGAAGGCCGTGGATGCCGAGATTCTGGATGCCAATCACCCATGGAGAGGCGGCGGATCCAGCAGCAGAGGATTCGATGGCGCTTATGAGACGAGGGTCGTTTGGGGAGCAGATGATACTCACGGCGAGGACACCAATGACGTAAAAGCCGACGATACGGTAGAAGGTCATTTTGACGACGCGGGGAATCGTGAAGCGCGGGTTTTCGATCTCGCCGGCGGCCAGGGCTGGAAGGTCGGGTCCAGCGACGGAGAAAGCGGCGTACACGACCACGGAGAACCAGCCCAGGAAGCGGCCGGTGTTGCCAGTGGTATAGTATTCGTACATGACGCCGTGTGTCCAGTTGCGGAAGCCGTAGATGTCGTGGTGGGGATTTCCGCCGAGCATGGTGATGAAGGTCAAGAGGACCAGACCGATGAGAAGGAGGATCTTGGTGGAGGCCATGATGAATTCGGTCTCTCCATAGTATTTGACGGCGACGATGTTCAGGAGGAAGCATACGACCATGGCCATGGCGACCCAGACGGCTGGGTTGACGCTGGTATTCCAGTACTGCATCACCGTCGCCACAGCGGAATACTCGGTGCAGAGAAGCATGAGTCCGCCGTAAAAGTATACCCAGCCCCTACAGATGTCAGTGTATGAGTTGGAGATGTCTCGGGCTCACGTACATTGCAAATCCGAAGGCTGGATCGATGTACCGCGCTGCTAGTTCGAAGATAGATCCTCGGATTGGCAGGTAGGCGCACATCTCACCCACGCATAGGTTTGTGGGCCAGATGAACAGAACGCCATAGAAGAGATACCCCAGGAACAGGGACAGAGGCCCGGCATCGCGGAGGTAAGAACCAATACCGACAAATAGGCCTGTTCCAATCGATCCCCCAATGGCCATCAACTGCACATGGCGAGAAGAAAGACCACGCTTGGTTTCGTGGTATTCAATGACCGTTCCATTTTCTGTATGGGAGAGGCTATCGTCTCCGGATTCTCTGGCTGTGCTAGTGACTGAAGTTGACTTTCCCATGGCTAATTTTGACGAAACTGCGGATGGGAACGGCGACGCCACCCATTATTAACTCTGTCGTTCGTCTGCATTGACGGCAGGAACTGATAAGTGTCGCTCAATTTGCAGATGGAGATAATGGAAGGTTTCCGCGAAGAAGTCTGGGGAAGCACATTGGGTGATGCTATTCGTGGAGGAGCAGGACACGGATCGCGATAAGAGGCTGGATCGTTGGACGATCAATCAGTTGGACGGCCGATGTTATCAGAGTTATCACTTTGCCGGAAGAGGGAGGAGATGGCGATGCCAATCTCGCCAAGTGATAAGCTCACGCGCCCTCGTTTCCGTCTTTATCTGCATTTCAACCGTGACCGTCTGCTCAGATTGACTCTTCACTGATGGATAAGAACATGGCATTTCGATGACCTGATACACTTGTCGGAAAGCAGGCGCGACAGGCTCAAACGATGCACAAAATTGAATAATGAATGGCTGATGAAATCCCAGTATAAAAGACCCAGCATCATCTAAAGCGGAAGATGCCAAGGAATCTACCCACTGAAGTCATGGGTTTCCAGTGCTTCAACGTTTCTGACAGACATCTTATGCCTGACTAGTCTGCTGGTTGCCGGGTGCACTGGGTAATATTGAGCGACTATAGAAAGATTGCGGAAATGATGAGTATTACTATGTATCCTCAAAGCTAGTCTATATTCACTTGCTCATATTTCTTCAAGACCTTCCCCGCTGATTACCCCAGATTACCCTCGCTCGGGCTTGGAAGGCTCCTGTGACTTCCCCTCTTTTCTTCGGGATTTGATTCAACGCCATCCTTGTGGCTTCGGAGTAGCGGTGCAAAGCATACCGACTTGCATACTGACTCAATAATGCAAACACTTGGCTTGCTTTACTCATTCTTACATTGGCTCTCGTTGCCCAATGGCAAAAACCCCCGGATGCAAAGAACCACCAACGACCGACGCAACGCCATGAGATCTGCACATATGCATCGACTTTGCAAGCAGGACTTGACTCTACCATTTTTCCCGTTGGTGGAATCATTTCATTCCATCTGCCTGGACTACCGGGGAATATGCGATATAAAGCAGTTGGTGGTGTCGGTCACAATATGACTTGCGCTGGATAACCGACAAGCATCCACTGCAGTCACAATGAAGCTCTCTCTTCTTTCCTTATTCTTCACCCCCATTTTTGCTCTTCCATCTCACCTCACGCCGAGAAATGATATACCTCCTTTCTTCCTCCTAGCCGGCGACAGCACCACCGCCGTCCAATCCAGCGGCGGAGGCGGCTGGGGCGATGGGTTCATCAACACGACACTCCACAAGGGAGCCAAAGGTATAAACTACGGTCACGACGGAGCCACCACTGTCAGCTTCCGCTCCGGAGGCGACTGGGCCACCGTCCTCTCCAAGGTCGCAGAATACAAGTCCGACTACCGAGCCTTTGTGACCATCCAATTCGGACACAACGACCAGAAGCCCGCCGCGAATATCTCCTTGGCTGAATACACCAGTAACCTAGAACAATTTGCAAAGGATGTCAAGAATGCAGGAGGCACACCGATTCTGGTTACGCCCTTGTCTCGTCGCAACTATGACAATTCCACTGGGACACCACTCGTGATTGAGAATTTGGCGGACCAGAGAGCGGCGACTATTGATGCTGCAAAGAATACAGACACATCCTATATTGATTTGAATAAGGCAAGTACGGATTACTTGAACAGTATTGGGCCAGCCGATGCGTATACGTATAACTTGGCGTCGGATGATTATACGCATCTGAATGGGGAGGGGAGCATAGTGTTTGGTGGGATGGTGGCTTCGTTGATTGATCAGGATTTCACAGAGTTGAAGAGTGATGGGTATGTTAAGGTGATTGCGAAGCTTTTGGCGGCCTTGGAGGAAGGCAAGTACTATTGGCCCTGATTTTCTGGGTTGTTTGATGGAATTGGATGTTTCTGGTTTCTTGATGGAATGTGAATCAGCATGTGTTGCATTTATATAGTGTTTTTATCCATGATCAATGGTTGGTAGATGGTATCTACCAAGCAGAAAATGACAGTTGTTACATCTCCATTCTGGAATATCTCAGTATGGCATATGATCTGGCCAACCCAATGTTATGAACAGCGTGATTTAAGTATTATTGTTCCAGTCCCTTCAACTCCCACAATGACATGCTGCTCCGTTAGCCTACATAGGTGATCTATACACGAACTGCATCTGGTCTTCACACAACGCCTCTGTACGTAGCTCACAGTCGAAACGCCTGTGCATCCTTCCGTGCCATTTAGAGCCAACTGAATATATCCTATGACCCGAATAACCTCCGATAGTCTACTCTACTGACTCAGCTTAGCAAAATAGAACGTTCTAGTGTAACATCCTTAACCATATAGACCTGCTTGCTGTGGAATCCATATAAGCTATCAGTATGTCATCGTCTCAAGACTTGTACAAACCCTCGAGGCCGACATTTCCTGTTGTTATCTGCTACTGCATCTCATGAGAACAGGACATTTTCCTTTTCAACCTGCGTGGGGCATTTGGCACCCTGAATATATGCATTATTGTGCCTGGGGCAACGGTATTACTATCTGGAGCTGGTGCCTGAGGCTCCTTACGTGCAATGATGAGTTATATGCATGCAATTAGGTCTAGCACAAGTAAATAATGCCACCACAGCAATATCTCACGAGCATTTGGATGATATGAGCGTTGAAAGGACCTATGATCCGCCTACGTAATGAGCAGTGAACGAACGCATGTGATATTCATGGATGCTGTCAGAATAAGGCTTTGCAGTGCGACATATGCCCTGAGAGTTCTACAGTTGAATGGATTGAATAGACCCCTACACTCCATTAGCAGGTCTTCTCAGACGTTCTGTTCATTGCAACATTGGAACCCTTCACCTCCTCCCAGCAAAGTCTGTAAAGACCGTGTCCTCTGCACCCATACGCACAATATCCAATCACAGCATCACAGTCCAAAAGCAATGACAAACAAGCTTCTGCTGCCAGATGACATACCTGCGCAGCGCGTCAGCCCAGATCTATAGCACGGCGAAATAGAGTCTTGTATGTATGCAATGTTATGTTAATTATTGCATGGGTTCTGCAAGGTTCGGTGTCAGCAGACAACTCTCTGCAGCGAAAGTAAAATGGAAGACTGTCTGGTAGACACAGAAGGTAGCAGGAAGTATAGGCTACCAGAATGGTACTTAGGTGGAAGGAAATGTCGAACTCGTTGAGAAATCCCTCAACACACCACCACCACCACCACCACCATTATCACCAGACTCAGCTGGCACACACCACACACCACACGCCCAACTTCAGCTACTTACTGATCGGCAATCTTCATCCGACATCACTCAGTTACATCGACCAAAAATAACAGCAACGAAATAAAAGGGTCATTTCAGACGCCAGGGAGGGAGGCAAACCCCGAATCAAGAAGGTGACAGTGAAGTCTAGAGTTCGGGTGTGCATGAGACGAGACAATAATAGCAATAGCAGCAGTCCAGTCCAGCCAGTCCCGAGTACTCAGGTAACTAACTAACTAACTTACTAGTAAATTAGTGAGCTAACTACTAAGTTAGTAGCAGCGCGCTCTCTCGGCCGTCGCATCGAATAACTCCTCAGAAAGGATCGGCTTATCTCCGTTCCTCTTGATTGCATACAGCCGGTACCCATACAATACTCAATACATGAGTGTCTGTCACTCAGTGTCTCACCCATTCTTCACCAGTCAGTCAGTCAGTCAGTCAATCAGTCCCCTATAAGCCTTCCGGAATATAGCATTAAGTAGCAGTTGAAATACCACTTCCTCACGGAATCCCCCCTTACTCTCCCTACTAACTACTTACCTACCACACACTAACTCAACATCCGTCATCCGATCAATCACACAACCAGCGACCCCATCCAGTAACAAGTAAAGTCAGTAGCGTAACTTCGCGTTTCGGATGCAGGGACCACCAAAAAGGCCTGTGCGTGCACCGGTCAACTTTTAGTAACTCTGTAGCTAAACTGCAGTAAGAAGGTAGGTGTGGGCTGGTTGAAAATGACGGGCGGCCGGGGCGGGCGCGCGCGGACGTGGATACCTTTCCTTACCTCCTACTATCTATCTAGACTAACTGTTATTTATTTTCTCCCTTCCTGCAACGCGTTCTGCACGGCGGCCCGTGGCACGGGAAGATTTAGAAAGGCCAGCGCTATGGCGCTAGGTTAGTTCTTTTTGGTGTGGATGTGGGTGTGTGTGTGTGCCTATCAGTGTTGCTCCATGCGAACGGAAAGACGGATGGGTAGTCTACCTCGGAAAGGAAAATAGCAGTTGGTGGGGAGCTATGCAGATAGGGTGTGGTAGATAGTGACTTACCCTATCTATCAACCTAGGTGTTCAGCCATTATTTTTTTTTGGCACAATGGGATTGATTGAGTGAGTGAGTGGTTGGGACATTAGTCTTTCTAATGAATTAAGGATTACTTTACGACACCCACATACACACACATACTATGTAAACACGTATGTATTGAGAAGAGAGGAAAAGAAAAAAGTATTATCACATCCCACACAACCGAGGAACTAGAAAGAGAAAAAAGGCAACATCTGAAAAAAGTATATGGAGCAACTGATCCGACACAAACCGTTCTGGCCGAAAATATCCCTCATCCGAGCAGCAGCAGCAGCAGCAGCAGCAGCAACAACAACAAGACAGCAAGACAGCAAGCAAGAAACCAGCATAATCCCGTTCCCGTAGCGTGCAGGATCGTCAAGGCTCAGCCGCAGTTCCGCTCCACCACTCCACAGCTGGTTGGAGTAACACAGTGAAAGAATAATACATCTAACCAGTGTAGTGAAAGTTACAAATACTTTACGAGAACCCAGAAGAGTCTTCTCGGAGTAACTGCGGATATTACATCGAGTATAGATACGATGGCGCTTGCATTGCTAGTAGAAAATTACTAGGGGAGATACAAAACAGGTTTAGCTGGCGGCAAGCCTAGCAAAGCAATTATTGAGAGAAAATAAAATAAAATAAAAAATAAAATAAAAGGAAAAAGCAATGGTCAAATTGCGCGCTAACTTCAATTACTTTTGCTTGCTGCATAACGCTACTGTAGGTCTTATGTGCCTAGTGCGAGACCGCGTAGCACCAGGAACGGTCGAGTCAGCTTTTCAATGGTCTTGTGTGTTAGGTGCTACTGGGAGAATCCCTGTCTAGTAAGTAATGGGTGTGAAGGTGGCGGTTACTGGTTGTTAGTAGTGGTGTAGTGGGGTATTATTTTTGTGTGTGTGTGCGCGCGCTTCCCACCATATTTTCTGCAATGCTGTGGTTTGAGAAATATGTGCAGTGGCAACTGGCAACTGGCAAGGTTACATATCATGCAACAATCAGGCCGAGCTTTCTCCACAGATGGGGGAGCGCGTACATATTGCATACATGGGAGGGAAAGGTGGATAGTTAGTGTGCGTATAGTAGTTGCTAATAATCACATCTTACTAGGCCGGTTGGGGTCATTGAAGTGCAAGTCAGCGAGGTATTATTATTAGTTACTCCAACCACCTGATTGTTGGTCACGTATCTAAGTATTAAATTAAATCACACTCCAAAGCCAGAGGTGCATTATTAATCGCGACACCATTGCACGTTGCTACTTTAGTGCTACTTAAACTATGTCTGGGTCTAGATTAATACCGCGATGGTGTGCAAGACCGACTGGAATACAACTGGATACTTTCTTCCTACACGCCAAAACAATGTGGAGGGGAGGGCCTCCCGTGCCAATTGCAGTGTGGAGGGACGCCCACCAGCCAGGTGTAACACTACATTATGACGGACTGCCATTACTGGCTGCTGCATAGAGTGGAGACCAGCGCTGGTGGGGTGGGATAGTAAGTAAGAAAGGACAACTGCAGTGACAGCGGGCCTATCATCATCCCGGTCCTTAATTTACTCTTACTCGGCCATTGGGGGATTGTCGGAGCTACTAGGGAATGGCGTGCTACTACTTCAGTCGCCCGTAATTAGGGACTTATATCCGGCCATCTGATAGCAAATCAGCCCTAGAGGCATTTCGTGCTCCCGTCCAGTCGACCAGAGCATGTAACAGCTGTTAAGCACCTAGATCAAGGGCCCATTGTATCCCAATGTCGACCAGGGCTACTTGAATATCCCTCATCGTACGGCCTGCGCAGAATGATGATTGGCATCCCTGAAGTACCGCGAAGACAGCACGCGTGAGATCCCAGTGAGTACAGGCTGAGTACCTCGATCCAGTGCTTACAGCCTTATCCTGTAAGTATTATTACTTTTGTGACGAGTCCCACGGCCCGTGCAGAAGTTATCTCGCGCCCATGATGCCATCTTGCATATCCGCTCGAGCAAAGACCACCAAGGCGCCTGTATTCCACGATCGCCATGCACGCCGTCGGAGATTTTTTTTTTCTCTCTCAGGCTGCCAGTTACTCGCGTCGCGCAGGATCGACAATGCGATTGTTCTATGCTTCGTATGGATGGATAGCCGTCCGTACGGAGTACAGGAGGGCTAATGACGCTGCAGTGCACCATATCGGATCATAGTGGTCCGTGACACCCGTTGCTAGATCCCTGTCTGTATCCTGTTGCCAAGCCTGCTCAGATTACTAGGTTGATGCTTCATGCGCCTATCATCTGTGCAACACGTCCTCTGGATGCGTCTCAGATCGTCGGCATCTTCGCATATGTACACGCTCGAGTCGGGCGGCTCTAGGTTATCCGCTTCGCTACTTGGCGTCTGTATAGCACAGCGTTCGTCGCAACTTGCGGAAAGGCAGGGAGTCCCCATTTCTTGTTTTCTTATTATCCTGGGAATGCACGGGGGCTGGTGAATCTCATATACATCCAGTGGTCAAGTAACACGATCGCACCCGCCCCTAATCCACAACGCCCTCGGGCCCGCAGTCTCCAGTCGAGCACTAAGGAGGCACTGGTAGGAGATCTTCCGCAACGGGACCCCAGACTGGTTAGGTTCAGATTACTCGGTTTTTGACAGGTGTACTAACGTGTCGTTCCTCGGTAACCTTGACGGCGGATCGAAGGTTGCGGCAACGCCAACAAGTTGATTGGTATCTCCGCATTTGGTACCTGTATATAAGGGGATGCTAGCGTCCTGCCGGATACCCATTTCTTTCTCGGGCTTCAGCAGTAGTAGCTGGTCCGGGTGGTGACGGTGCGCATGTGTAGATCCAAGGGTATTGCTTACCTGCTCTATCGATACGAATAATACCATCGGTGCACCACATGACACCGCACTAAAGGACGCTTACGCTGTCGGTGGCCTCAGGTGTCGAGGGTCTGTGGTCAGCCAGCAAGAGGGACCGTGCGATGAAGGAACTGACTTCGGGAGGGTGTAAGAACCGCTGGCGAGCTCAGCTCACTACTACGTGTCCCGCTATCCATGGGTGAGATGAATTATGCTTCGCACGAGCCATACTGCTCGTTTCGAGACGGTTGCGCAACCCTGCTCGACAACGTCCGCAAGCTGTGATGCTAGGATTCTGGTCGTTCTCCTACTGGCTTCCATTGCAATACTTGGACTGGAAATATTGCATGGCCACATTGACGTATCGCAGAGGGACCATGGGCCCCGTGCGAGATCCATGCATGGAAGCTGTTCTCAAGCATCTTCTCTGCCAGCAATTAGTACTCAACTTCCTGTCTGCAAGCCCACGGACGTCATAACGTGGGATGTCGCCAGACATACTCAACCAATCAGTCGTTGCAGTACTAACGTCGGCAGCAAAGGAGGGCAGCTAAGCCTGGATAAATGGGGTCCTCGTGCAGCTCCGTAGGTTACCATGCAACACCATCACTTAACCCTACCAGGAATCTTGGTTCCATACGGGTTTCAAATTGTTGTTAGTAACGTAGTAAGTACATGGGATCATTCTTTGTGCGATGGTCTTTGTGAGTAGTTAGCACTCTATAAAAATATCAACAGCTCCAGCAGGGCGAGCTCTTGTGTGCCGTTCGGCGTAGAACATTTGTTTCTAGACCGCGCTATTCTTGTCATGACTGGGATACACCGGATCAAGGCACGCAGAATGTATCTGCTCGATTCTTTGAGATACTAATCTCGATATTGCGAGTCCTGTCCCAAATCAGTTCTCATTGCGATTGCACAGCGGTCGTGCGACCAACAACCGCCCGTTAAAGTTGACTGTCAGCAGGTCCGCAACCATCCGCGCTCCCCCATGCACATCCTGGATAAAACTAGACGGTCGCTTGTGCATAATGCGCGGACACTTTACTTACTGTTGTGTTTGGGCCTGCCTCGGAATGGAGACGATACCCATGCTCAGGCAATTTAGCATGAAAGTCAAACTCGCGTGCGCCAGTGACCTCCTCAGAATTGGAGACAAGATTGGCCAATGCGACCAAACGTGGGCACGATACTTTGAGGGATTACTCGTGTTGGTTGGCTGTCCGTTCCCGGAAATCGAGAGCGAACGCGCTGTTCCTAGGGAACCGACCCCAGTGCTTCAGGGGACGCCAGTCTTTGGGGAAAGCGACCAAGATGATCAGCCATGGCCGGCGCTGAGATCCAATCATGGGTGGTGGAATGTCGGAAGCTACTAGTGCAACCGATGAGCTCCGGATTATTTCGCCCATAGCCTCTGCCAAGTCTTCATCGTCGTCCGCTTGACAGGGAAAGGTACTCCACTAGGCAACGATCAACTGCCAGATGGGGTCACGGAAGGCAGAGGTGAAACCGAACAAAAAAAGAAGTCGTCGATTAACCTTAGCAGCTGGAACCAAAATTGGACACCGCCCGATGGAAGCGAGGAAGGATGAACCTAGGTAGTTGGATGCCTAGGCGCATCTCTGTTCCGTCGTGGAAGCAGGATGGCTGGGGTATCTAGCCGTCATTCTCGCCCTCGGGAGTTGTACGGTCCCAGCGACTTTGACTTCCCAACAATTTGTTAACACGACGAGGTATCTGCTTGGTACCATACTTTTCTCTCTCGTCTCGGTCTCTCCAGCAAGCAATTCGTCTGCTTCCTCCTTTACAGCCGGTGGAATGACCTCAGGGGTCCCACCCGCAGCAACGGATCGAACGGATACGATTGGCAAAATACCCGCTGGATCCAGGGAAATCCCCCACACGAACCTTGAACCTTCTCATTCGTCCTCCCCCACAAAATGGCGCAGGCTCGGTTTTCCATGCTGCGGTCCGGTTGTGAGACTAGTGCAGGAGATAGACACACTAGAGTGCTCCAGCTCGCAACCGGACCTTCCTTTTCCTGCTCCCAACGTCCTCCCTGCGAAATTGGCGCCAGCTGCGATTAATTACGATCAGTTCCATTGTTTCCCTCCATTACCCTGATTGGGGGGTTTTTGAAGCGGCGCCAGCCGCCACCACATATGTAAGCCGCTGGCAGGCCAGGCAGCCCACCGACTCGGGCGTAGCCGTCGAAGGTTTAATGGTTGGTTTCCTCAAACCAAGCGACCCGTCGACGTGGTGATTTTCCCTCTTTGTCCCTACCCCAGACCGATGCTCTGGCTGGGATCTCATTCCCATCGTGGCTCCTGCTAAAGGCGGAGGCAATAGTGGCCGATCCGGGCAGTCACGAGGTCCGGGGTTGGATTCCACCCTGAACTCTGGCTCCTGCCGAGAGAATGACCCAAGAGGCTAAGACGGGCCAAATAACGGCCTGGCGACCGAACCGGTATGGGTTCTCTTACCATATCTTACCCTTTCACCAGCCCCAATGTTACATGTGCGCCGTATCAATAATTACCCCAGGTCGCACACCAAAAAGCAGGACCGGCGACAATCGGCCTGCAGCCCGTGAGCCTGCCTGATCCAGTTAGCCTGCATACTAGTCCGGTAGCCTGAAGCGCCCTTGACTTTTAGTAGTGACACACCACTCACCGGTAATCTAATCTGCATTACATTTGCCGATGATAAGTGACAGTGATCGGTTTGTGGAAAAAGGTAACAGTGTAAGTTAAGTAACGCGAGATAATCATCTATCTAGAGTCTCTTGGCTAGCAGCGCATGGTGGATTCCCTTATCTGCCAACGCCTTTGAGATACTTGGGATGCCTCAGGACCCTGAAGAGTGCGCGATGTTCTAGAAATGCAAGGCTTGTCTTTCGGCCCTTAAGTTGCCATTGCCTGTTTTACCTCTTTCACAATACGTGACAGGCCTGATTGAACCTAATTACGACACATAGCCCGGTTTAGATTGTAGCCTGGATACGATGTTCTGGCATGCATCATGAGCTTCTCGTTTATGCCGTAACTTGGATCACCTGGATCAACTAACACTGCAGTAAATTGGCCCTAGTCTTCAAGTGCTGTTCTGTGCTCATCCTCTGAACTCCGGCACCGTTCCTAGAGATCTTGAGCGACAAGCGCAACAGCTCCAGCTTGGATGAATTTGAAATAGAAACCCTTCCATCAAGCCACAGCGAGCATTCGAGCTCCCACATCCCGTTATCCATTCACTACAAGATTAAGCAGAGTAAGCAAGAATACCAAGGGCTCTCAACAAGCAAGGCAAGAAAGATACTGTCTCTAACAAGCGGCAACGCAATTACTCTGAAAGTAGAACACCACTTCTGCAGGCCTCGATACCAGACCAAGCACTTAGTGTGCTTTCATAGAATGTTAAGGCAGGTCGAGAATAACTATCTGGTTCCTAGAGCTAGTGCTTCGTATCCCATGTCTCAATTTGAAGTTGCACCCAAGTCAATGGGAGGAAATTGATCATCTTGAGGAAACCAGCCATGCACGACTAGTCTTGCCCCAGGTCTATTTCTTCTTCTGTCTTCTTGTTATGGCCTGGTACTCGGCCGTGTCTCCAGCCGAAAGGGCCATCGTTGACATTCTAGACGACGGTGTGTGTCGTAATTAGGATCATTCCACCGGACATCGGACGGGCTCAGATGGCCAGGTCGCGGTCTACGTGGATAGCTTTTCCTTTCTTTCTTTCTCTCTCTCTCTCAAGCTAAATAGCCAGCTAATTAGCTTACGAGCAGGGGAGTAACTCTAGATACTACCTACCCAGGGAGTAAGTGATCGGAGAGGGCGTGCGTGACGTGCGAATACCGAGGAGGTACAGAATTACCATACGTGCGGCCGGGATGTGACCGTATTGTCAGTTGGGCTGGGACAGCATCCACACCCCCGTGACTGGGTTGTGGGGCCCGCTCTCTGGCTCTGGCCCTGTCATGGCCCATGCTTTCCCTCCCAAAGCACGCCGGACCAGAGCCACCCGGCCCACTCCGTTCCCCGTCACGGCCCATTATTGGATGGACGTCTGTGACTGAAGCTGGATGCTGTTTCGTGGGTTTGTCCCGCAGCATTCGCCGGGGTTAGTTATTTAGACGGGCCTCTCACTGCCCACGCTGGTAAAAACGTAGGTTACGAAATAAGAAAATAAAGGAAAATTAGAAATGGAAGGGGAAGGGGAAAGGAAAGAAAAAAAAAAATAAAACTCACTTCGGTCTTGGTAGCTAAGGTGGTAAGTAAGTAGGTTGTAGTCCGGCCGTCTTTAGTTGGGAGGCTAGGCTGGTCTGTTCGTAACCGGAAGAGCGATCCCAATACTTCAGGAAATAATATGGAGTAATAAATCCAAACGAAATGACATATCTGGCAATTGGAGATTCTAGCTAACTAGTTGGTTTAGTTGGTTTAGCAGGTGAAAGGACCGGACCTGCTTACGACATACCATCTACCTGCCACTAGATAACCCGAGCAGCTTCTCCGGAGCATGTAAAAAGTTTCAGTGAGTGAAAAGAAAGACACGAAAAACAACCACTGCGAGCGATCCTGCTAGTTGTTCAGTCCTGGTGCTCCCCGTGCAACAGCAGACTATTAGGGCGTTTCCTTGCTGCGGCAGAGCCACTAACTGCTGCGGTTCCTGCTCGTACTGACACCCCTCGGAGAGTACAGCCTTACACCACCCAATCCACTCCCATCCCCATTTCCATCCATCAGTCATCCTTCCTTCCTCTCACCTTCCATCCCTCTTAATTTATCTATCTAACCACTACTACAACTACTGTTCTCTTTCTTTTTTACACTTTCATATTACACCCCTCCTTTCTCCCGATCCCCAACCCAAAGTGTGCCTTCTTCTTCTTCTTTCTTGTTAGCTGCTTGTCGGACCACATACCGCTCTCTTGTCTGCTTATCAGCAATTGATTGAGCAGCAGCTAGCCAGCCCAGCACACCCGCCCATAACTCCAGTCGGCTATCTCCGGCTTATCCACCGACGACTCACACCACCATCGCGGCGCATGCCCGCGCAACTCACCTCCATCCTATCCTATACCGCAAATTTCGTCTAAGGAATCCAAGACCAATGGTCTGTGGTATTCGTGGGTGATTCAGTCCATCCTCACGAGTCGTTCCGTGCGCAGAGCTTGGTGAGTAGCCACCCGTGGGTTTCCCCTGGAGCCTGGAAACTCAACCCCTGCTGATTACAGTTGCTAATCCCGAGATCGATTGCCTCCCCCCCAGGAACGGAGCCACTTCGCCACCCACCCACTTGATCTAATTCCTTTGTAACGGTGATCCTGTTAATCGTCTACACATTATCAAGTTATCGCCGCCCACAATTCCCATTGTTTTAACTTCTTAAAAAAACTACCCCCCGAATAACGGCCTTCTTGCTTGTCTTCTCCCCGGCTTCCGTCCTCACTTGGTGAGCTTCCCGTGGCATTGCTGCATTCTATTCGCTGCATCTTTTGTCCGGACAACGAACCAAGCTAACTCTGATCTCATTGAATCAGAATGCTGTCAATGTCGCATCTCTTTCGCAACCTTCACCAGTAGCCTCCTTTCGTCACGTCTACTGTCCTTCCTCTATTGGCAGTGCTTTTGTCGTCTTCAGCTACCTTATAAACCCCCGCGTCGTGCTATTCCAGACGACCCCGCCCCCGCAAACCAGTGCTTTCGTAACTGGTTCCCGCAAAACAGAAGAACGTTCTTAGGATGTTACTAGATACAATGGTCGGCCAGGAATCGGCCACGAGCCCCAAGGTGGAGGACCTTGCTAGTATTAGCGAAATCCCGGTCGATGTGCCTGGTGAGCTTATGTTCTTCGAGGTGTATGCTATCTATCTGTGAATCCTAACGAGAGCAGCTGCCCCCAAAGAGGATTCCAAGGAAACTAACGGCCAACCTGACTCGAAAAATACTGTGCCTCCCCCCAAGACTGACAAGCCCCGCCCTCATGGGTGTACGACCTGTGGCCGGTCATTTGCTCGATTGGAACACCTCAAGCGCCATGAGCGCTCTCATACAAAAGAAAAGCCCTTCGAATGCCCCGAATGCTCGCGCTGTTTCGCTCGTCGGGACCTGCTCCTCAGGCATCAGCAGAAACTACACATGACTACGACTCCATCATCGCGCCCCAGAAATGGCCGAAGAGAGAGCACGGGAGGCGCATCGACTGGAGCGAATCGGGTTCGCAAGAACTCAATCGCTAGTAACTCTAGTAACATGCGTCCCAGAGCAAACACCATCAGTCATATTGATGGGGCTTCCTTGGGAATGGTCAACACCTCTAATCCCCCACCAGCGCCAGCTGGCCACTCGGGTCATACTTACCACGCAAGTATTGGCTCCGCGTCAGTGGGTTCCAACCTGGATTTCCGAGGTTACTCTTCTGGTCACCATCCTTCTATGAATGGCTTGACAAAACTAGAAACATCGGGTTTGCCCATGGATATTTCTGGGGGGCTTCGCACTGCTCCCGTCTACGGTAGCTTTGACATCAATGTGCCTGACATGTTCATGGGCCATGGCAGTACCATCAATCCAGCGCAGCTTCACTTCGGAGGCTCACCGCAGACCTACGGAAACGACTCGCCATCCTCCCCTTATACTCATGGTGCGCATCATATGCCTCCTGCGGATGGGATGATGGAAGACGATTTCAGCTTCGATTGGATGAACACCTTTGACCCTGCTATGCCTATGGGTAAAAGCGCTGATTCAGCCATCGACGAGTCGTCCCCTTCCGCAATGAGCACGGGCAGTCAGAGTGGAATCAGCGAAGCCATGATGGATGGCTCCCATCGTTATTCTATCTCGTCGAGCAGCTGGCACAACCCGTTTCCCCCACATTCAGCGGCAGCCTCCGGCCAGTTCCCCCTCGAGTACACCTCGTCCAGCTTCAACGATATAGGCATTCCACCGGAAACCGTTTCGCCGAAGTCATTGATGGCTCAGAATCCTTTTGCAGAAACATATGCAACTCCTCCATCCATGACTTCCGTTGGCCAGCCCTTGATGGGTGGACATTCGCAGAGTATGTTTTCATCCTCTATGGCAACAAACGGAGAATCTCCTAATCCTTTCAACCTCCCTTTCGCGAATAGTGCCCTACGAACTCACCATTCCCCAAGCTCCACGGATACCTTTACAGACTCCACCCGACAGGCTCTATTAGCAAGCATGGCGCGCCCTACCAGTCTCAATCACCGCAAGTATTCCCAGCCCGCCAGCGGCATGATTCCCTGTCGCGATCTTTTCTCCCGTTCTTCCACCTTCACCGGCTCCGGTCAATTACCTAGCACCTCGGACATGCAACGCTACATCTCAGCTTACATCACCTATTTTCATCCACACATGCCGTTCCTTCACATCCCGACCCTTGACTTTCAAGCGCCCGAGTACACCAACAATCTGCGGACCCCCAGCGGCCATCTCAATCTCAGCTCTACCGGCATCACCGGAGGTGGCGGCTCCTTGATCCTCTCCATGGCAGCAATTGGTGCCCTCTACGAATTCGATACTGCGGCCTCCAAGGACCTGTTCGAAGCTGCCAAGAAAATGATTCAACTCTATCTAGAAGAGCGACGTAAAGCGGACATGTCGACCCCGGTCGGGCGCCACAGTAACGCTCGTGACAGCTCGGTGCATAATACGCCACTCTGGTTGGTTCAAGCGATGCTCCTCAACGTCATCTATGGGCACACCTGCGGTGACAAGACGTCTGCTGATATTGCGAGTACTCATTGTGCGGCGTTAGTCAGCCTTGCCCGGGCGGCTGAATTGAATCGCCACCTAGATGCGAAAGATCTCTCTCAGGATTACCTCACTGCGGGACTTGCTAGCCGCGTTGGTACTGATTCCGACAGTTGGGGCCAGTCACCAGCCGGGCAACCCAAAGAGAGAAGGGATTGGTTGGAATGGAAGATCGTAGAAGAGCGAAAGCGCACTCTCTACGCAATATTTGCTCTTTCATGCTTCCTTGTGTCAGCTTATAATCATGCACCCGCTCTTACCAATTCCGAAATTCGCCTCGATCTGCCCTGCGAAGAGGATCTCTGGGCTGCCGAATCCCCCCAAGCGTGGAAGAAGCTAGGTGGACAGTCAACGCCAAAGAAAGGGCTGTCCTTCTCCGCCGCTTTAACTACGCTTCTTACCGCCAGTCAACGAGAGCAGCAATCGTCCACGACACAGGCCAAAGTATCTGGGAACGATGTTTCTGAGGAATCTCCTAGTAGCGAACTCAAACCTAGTACTTTCGGCTGCTTAGTTTTGATATATGCTCTTCACAACTACATCTGGGAGACTCGTCAGCGCCACATAGGCCGGCAATGGACTTCACGCGAGAATGAGGCCATGCAAGCACATATCGAGCCCGCACTGCGCGCCTGGCAATCCGCTTGGGCCAGCAATCCTGTGCATAGCTTGGAACGCCCAAACCCTTTCGGCGCAGGGCCTCTTTCTGCTGACAGTATCCCACTGTTGGATCTCGCGTATGTGAGGTTGTTCGTTAATTTGGGGAGATGCAAAGAAGCATTCTGGCAGCGTGATTGGAATGCCATGTCAGACGAGCTTGCGCGTGGAACAGGGGTGGATCATCCCATGGACGACATACCATCTGATGTGCTGGACCCTTCCATCACTAAAGGTTCCAACCACATTGATCATCGGCGCGATTCTGTGGCAGACCTGGGTGTAGGTGATCTTGCTATATCCAGTACTCCCACCCAGGATCATCCTTTGCAAACTCTCATGGGCGTATACCGGCCTGGCCAAACCAAACGTGAAAAGCATTTGCGCAAAGCTGCTTTCTATGCGGCTGACTCCATATCAATGTCCGATCAACTAGGGAATACCTTCGCTGAATTCACCTGCCGGGAGCTGCCCATTCAGTGTGCCATGTGCACTTTCGACTGCGCTCAAGTGCTGGCAGAATGGATCACTACTGTCCAAGAACGCGTCGGCCCCTACCTAGGTGTTCTTGGCCAGGATGATGTCGACCTCATGCAAGCCACCAACCTTCTCTTACTCGAGGAAGAGGATTGTAAACTGTTGGGAAAGATCAAGGAAATCCTTTCCAGCGTTGAAAATAAGATGCAGAGAGAAGTTCAAAGTGGCATAACCATGTCAGCCCTGAGCGTCCTACAACGTCTGCCTAGTGTTGTCGAAGGTGGTTATGGCAGCAAGATCCTGCTTGCCACTGCAAGTCTCCTTGACCGGGCCGCTGTGTGGCCAGTGACGAAACTTATGGCTCGATCACTAGAAGCCCAAGCTATGCGGCTGAAGGAGCGTGCACAGAGCTCGACCCTGGGAGCCAACTAGCTCTATAACGGGGATGACTCGATGGCAATATGATGCTTATCATGCACCTTCTCCTAGCAAATATTGCTAGGTAATCCGTCCATGCTGGTTATGCTACCGTGGATTAGCATCACTGGCCACCTCGGATCTACCATGCATTTCAGGCCTAGGTCACCGCGTTCCCTTACTCAAGCTCCTGACTGGTCTGCGTTATTGTGCATCAGGATGATGGAGAGTGATTTACTGGAGCAAGTAGGCTTCTCCCAATCATCTCTCGAGTGCAAGCATCACGCACAGCTATGACGGATGACCTGGGAGATAATCCTTTTGATGGACCCAAGCTACACCGCACCTTTATCCTATATCTCCCTTTCCTGACTTGTCGACGCCAAAGCATGTGTTCGGGTGAACTGACATTTTATCGCCGGTGCCCTTTATCCCCTATAACCCCTTCACGGATCACGCAAGTGCGATTATGTGTTTTATTATTGAGTGTTTTTTTCTTCTGACGCTAATTTTCTGTGCCACTACCAAGAGATGTTCTGTGTATTTGTTTCGATTTGTGACATCTGGGAAAGGCGGGACCTTGACAACGACCAGGGAGGGTTAGTTGCTTGTGAACCTAACGACTGGACATGGATCTTCACGATACCCGAAACCATTTCTGATGACCTGCAAGCATGAAATTCCGATATTGAGACGATAAGTGCCATATGTTGGAGTTGGAGCCTTTGATCTATCATTTGTGCATATATTATATAACGTAATCAACGGTCGAACGGGCCACACGGTCAGGCGGGCCATCCTGAAATCCCATATAAAAGATGTCTTTTTGATTCTATTATATATCAACCAGTACTACTTCTATGAAGCTCTAACTTTGTAGATAGTTTATATATATAAGAATAAGTATTCCATGAATTTTTCAGATTTTTAGAATTTTTACTTTGATAATGAAACCAGATTCTTATATAATACATATAAATACAGATATTGTAATATGATAAGTCCATAAGTAAAAGTATATTCATTTTTAGAAGGTATATAGATATTATTTATATTATTTAAAATCTATATAGAAGAAATCTAATTCTTCTAGACCTGGATGGTAGAGATATATTATGTTTAAAAAGATATCTTTTGTATAGTATTACCAGATGGCCCGCCTGACCGTGTGGCCCGTCCGACCGTTGATTACGTTATATAAAGCGTGTACATATTCAGACCATGTGAAATTGAGACCGAATGAGATTGGCATACTGACTCTGTTATCCTCGTCTACTACATTGAAGAGTATACCTTTTCCAAAAGCAGCAGTAATAATACGAGCAGTAAATACACTCATAGTAGATGATGTTCTCTCACTGGACCATCATAATACGGTGCAGCCTTCCCCGCTCTGTACTATTGTACTAGTAGATAAAAACATGCACCAAAGCAAGCCAGGGTCCCATGCAACTAACTTACACGGAGCGACGTCTATGAGATTATCAAATGTATAATAACCGAAGCCTTCCTGCTTGGACATCCAAAATGCAGCTAAATCGCGCTATAGGGAGGGCGGAAGGCCCATTGATCACCCCGATCAGCGCCCTAGTATGAGTTCAACACAATAACTACCAACCAATCATTTTGCCCCAACAATGGCACATATTCAAAATATGACTCAATGGAAAAAGAAATATATAAATCTTGGAAATGATCCGTTCTACTTTTGTACCATACACCATGATGTACCATAAAAGAAATACTAGTACTGAATCTATACAATAAGTCTCTCGAAGGAGTACTTGCCCGCCGCTTTCCGCCGCAGATAACCAATCTCTCTGCTACTTCTCGTCTTGACCTCACCGGTCGACAACTTGACCTTAGTCTTGCTGACATCATTTGATCCCGCCTTGAGCGACAACGGCAATAGCTTGCCGCTAGCGTCACCCTCAAGACCATCATCGTCCTCCGTGGCGCCGAAGACCATCAGGTCCGCGCCGTTGAGCTTCTCGAGCCGCACCATAGCAGAGGCAGGGGTATCGCTACCGGAGTCGACGGCGACGGTGGTGGTGGCGGAGCGGATAGCGCTGTTAGCATAGCGGAGATATTCGTGGAGAATGCCCTTGAGGTAAGTGGCCTCTTCGATGCCGGCGAGGGCAGCGGAGATTTCGGACTTCAGGTCGGCGATGAGTTCCTGGTCACGGGCTGTGATGGAGTCGTCGACGCCCGAGGCGGCAGAGATCCAGCCGGAGGGGCCGATGGCGTCCACGGAGGCGTTAAGGAGGCCGACGATTGTGGAGAGGGAGACCGGGGGTTGGGTTTGCTCGGCGGGGACGGGGATGGGAGGGGATTCGGTGAAGCGGGAGGTGTAGCCTCCTGTTGCGAGGGAGAGGCGGAGATGGTGCACCATGGAGATGATCTCGGTGCGGGATAGGGCGGAGCGGATGGATGTGGTGATGGCGGGGAGGGGGTGGCGGTGGATCTTTTCGAGGGTGGTGTTGAGGGCGAGGAAAATGTTTCCGAGGCTGGGTTCGGCGTGGGAGAGGGCCTGGGTGGGGGTCTGGTCTTGGTCTTCGCCGTTGGTGAGCGCCTTGGGGGCTTCCTCGTCTAGGGTGACGGAGCGGGAACGAGCAGTGTTGATGAGGAGCTTGAGGATGTAAGCGAGCTCGTCGGTGGAGAAGAGGACGCGGCCTTGGAGGACGTCGATGAGGCGTTGGAGAGATGGATCCAGGTCGGTCAGGGCTTGGATGAAAGATCCGGTGGGGAGGGAGGGAAGGATACGGGGTTTGAAGGAGCGGCGGAGAGCGATCTCGACGTTGTTCGGGGACAGGTGACCGATCTGGATGAGCCATTGGCAGGTTTGCTGGGGCCACAGATTGATGGACAAGCGGAAGGAAGACGCGGCTGACAGTTGGTCCTGGCTTGAGGCATCGTCTTTCAGCTTGAATATCAAAGACAAAAGATGGACTGTTGTCTCCGGGTTGACGTAGTCGTCTGGTGAAGGGAAGCCGTTAGCACCGAAGTAAGCCAGTACTGCACGGTCGAAACCATCGGCGTCCTTGGCCTCGGCACACTGACGGAGGTCAGCAGTCAGCTTGTTCCAGCGCTCGACTTGTTCGGGCGATGAGAGACCCAGAATTGCTGCATCCTCGGTGCGATGCTTCTTGGCGGATCCGATACCCCGGCCGATAGCGTCAATCAGCAAGCCATCCCTGGACCGTTTAAGGGAGGGATTGGCAGCGTTGTGCGACGGGCTCAAGTCGAAAGCGAGCAGAGTGTTGTCCTTGGTAGCAATGGCAACTCCCAACTTGGCGTAGTAACTAACGAACGTTGTGCGCGCCTTGATGCCGGAGGCACTGGCTGGGATGTCGCTGACAGCAATGCTGCGCTGCACGGATTTGTATTGCGTGTCGTAAACTGCGATCATGGACTTGCCGGCTCCGATCACGGACTGAGGCGAGATACGCATAAGGGATGAAAATTCCTCGTTCTCAAGTATGAACTTAGAGGTCATTGTGGGAGTGTACTGGGAAAGATCGAAGTTGATGTATCCTTGTCCGAAGGAAACGTTCAGGCCAGCTGATCCGGCATGGAAGTACCACTGTGAGCCACGGGTCTCGATCGTCTCAGGCCCATCGACGTCGGGCAGGTTGAATGTGATCAGGTGGCGCATCTTTTGGCTTTCGTCGTGGCCCGAAGAGGAGGCATTGGCTGGAACGGAGAACATTTGGACCTTGACGTCGCTCAGTTTCGTGTGCTGAGAGCCAATGGGTTGCGAAACAAGTAACAGCACCGAAGGTTCGTCGACACCAGTCTCTGTAAGGTTTCCGAAGGCTAGGGCGGCCAAATCCTGTCTGCGCTTGAACAAGGACTTCTTCGCATCTTCGAATTCGACGAGGAAACACGAGCGAATCTCATGGGTTGTGCTGGATTTAGCGACCTCGCTGTGCCGCAAGCTCCAATGCTGGGTATTGAGGTCCGAAGACAGGCGCCGGACACGTCCGTCTTGATGAACAGCCAGAACATCGAACGATCCTTCCTCTTCCTCCTCCTTAGACTCGGTTGGAACAATTCCAACGAAAACCGCAGGACTTTCCGAATCGGTCACTGAATAAGACGAAGAACCGATGGAAGGCGCACTAGAACCGTTACCGCCATTCTCCTCCACAAATGACTTGATCTGCTGTTTTACGGCGACGTAGGTCTGCCTCCTGACAAGAGACTTGTTGATCTTTCTGCGCACCGAGCATGGCTGGCAGGAGAACGCGGATTGAGGTGGGACGGCGTAGGAGGTCACCAATTTGGGTGTTTGGATCTAAAGAGATTCGGCGAGTCAGCCTGTAAAATCCCTGCCAATGCTGTATCCGTGGAGTCCATGCATACGTTGTAGATATTCACGGCCTCCCCATCGACCGCAACGACCACTTCATGTCTCTTGCGCTTTTTCGAGTCGGCCAAGCTATGCACTTCGCCCAAGTGGGTTTTACCGGTAGACGCATGCAACGGGCGCGGCAAATGAGCCAGCACCGACGGTGGTTGCAAATCCATGATAGTAAGAGCCGGTCTGAAAGAATGCGATCGAAGCGCAACCGTTCTCGCCGAAGAGCTGAGGCACCTTGGACATCCTGAAGAAATCCGTTCTGTATGGCTTCCCGAAAAATTTCCGGGCTTACGTTATGCCGGTCTCCGGGCGGTGTGCCTCAATGGGGTTAGAGGCCACATGACTGCGGGTCTTGTATGGATTGGGTATAGTTTGAAATGACGTCCAAGGCGGGCATTATTGGCTCCATCGGTGGCCGCGCGGAAACACGCGCTGCTTCGCGTTGATTTCGTTCCTTAATTGCTTATTGTCGCTGCAGCTGTGAAGCTGACTGCAAACAATATCCTATCCGCTCCTTGACATTCTTACCCCAGTTCATGTCTTGATTACAACTTTTACCTAATAAAATTCCCTTTTGGTGATGAGCACTGGCTCATCCTATGGATGCATCGTGGTGAGCCAGATCTAGTATGGCTATGGGACAGGGAGAGCAGCGTGCCATCCATCCGTTCTTTCGAAGAGGTTATTGTCCCCTTTGGCTTTCCCATGACCATTGATGCTTATGTTCGACAGAACTTGGGATAGCCACGGGCCCAATTGGTCAAACACCCGTCAGCAATCACTCTTACGAAGGCCCGGAACTTCTGCACAAACAATCGCCTAGCAACCATGTCCCTCCCTTGTCCTCCTGCCCCGAGCCATCCGCTACGCCGGTTGCAACACTAGACCATGACCCGAACGCTAGTCGGAGGAAGCGAAGGAAAACAGACAAGGAGAAATCGGATCCAACATCGTCAGGTCAGGGATCTGTGATGAGTTATGTCATCTCCAAAGATGCACGATCATCTCAAGATAAAGACACCCCCTCGGCTGAAACCGAAAGCGCAATTACAGCTGAAGATGGCCCGGGCCCCCAAGAACCCAAAGCTGACACTGAGTCCGCTACCCCTGCTTCGGAGGGACTGGACGCGACGAAACAAGAACCCGATCACCAAGAATCTGCAGTCGGGGTTACAAACGAACCGGTAGCAGAAAGAAGATCCCCTCGGCAGAAAACGATCAAGCTAAACCCCAACGGAAAGTTGTTGGCTTCTCCTGTGGCGGTTAAGTTCGAGGATAAACCCAAGAAGACGAGAGCCAGCAAGCGTAGCAAGGTGGACTCCCAAAAGCTTGCCGGCCTCGAAAGCAAAATTGTAATCATCCGATACGGTATGGAAGGCAATGCGAGGGAACAGGTGGGAAAGCTGGTTAATGAGATACTTGCTGGTCAGAAGAAGCATGAGACCTCTAAGAAGGTCTCCCAGCCTGTTGCCCCCGCCTCTTCTACAGTCGCACAACAGCCACAGAGACCTACACATCCATTCTTCCTGAAGAAGCCCACGCGCAAACCAGATACCATAGACTCGCAGTGCCGGGAGCCTGATACTACTAATTCACAGCCGTCCGCAGGAACAGGACTGACAGCACGCCCCTTTCCTGGCCAAGATACGGCCTCGGCAGCCGTCCCTTCCACCACTTTCACATCATTTAAGCACCGCCGCTCTAGGTTTCCGGAACCCATACAGCCTATTTGGCCTCCGCGCGACCTGGTCCATGTCCGAGGCATAGAACACAACACCCGGAATACGGCCACTTCCGAGCCCGTCGTGCGGGATTTGAAGAAGGCAAAGATGGCTGCTATTAGTATCCATGATAACGAAAGCGTACTTGTACACCAAATACGGAAATACTCGTCAGACTCTCCGCAAAGTTTAAGGATCCCTTCAAGACACGTCGCTAGCGGGAAGGTTATACAAACAGCTGTGACCAGACAACTATCAGCATCTTCTCACGACAAAAAGACACTCATGGGAGCCTGTCACCCGGCCCTTAAAAGACTTCATTCCTCTCTTCCCTGCTCAATGACTCCTTTCGATCAAGGGGCCTTCGAAACGTTGAATTGGACTCAGAAGTATGCTCCACAATCGGCTGACCAAGTTCTGCAAACCAGCAAGGAAGCATACATGCTACGGGACTGGCTGAAATTTCTGATGGTTACAACAGTCGACACTGGTAAATCCTCCAAGGGCGATGAAAAATCGAGAAAGAGTACAGAGGAAAAGAAACGCAAGAGACGCAAGAAGGAGAACTTGGACGGCTTCATTGTGTCAAGCGAGGACGAGGCATACGAATTGGACCCTGTTAATGAATCGGATGATGAACTAGCGGGAGATGTCACGACGAAGAGAACGCTGGTCCGGTCCAATGACTGGTCACTGAGTTCAAAGTCGGGAGCGGATAGAGCTCGCGTATCCAACGCAATCCTCCTCAGTGGTCCTCCGGGATGCGGTAAAACGGCATCAGTGTATGCGGTGGCAAAGGAGCTTGATTCCGAAGTCTTCGAAATCAACCCGGGTAATCGACGCAGTGCCAGAGATATTGTGGAGCGCGTGGGTGACATGACGCGAAATCATTTGGTTCATAACGCGAAAACTGGCGAAGTATCTGCCGCTGATGCGCCGGTTGAAGCACCAGCCGACGACAAGCAAAACAAACTGATGGGCTTTTTCAAGTCTAGCGCTGCTAAAGATTCAAAGCAGACTCCCAAGGTCGACGCAAATAGCGCTACTCAAGTGACCGATATTAAACGGTCTCGGAACCAGAAGCAATCACTCATATTGTTGGAGGAGGCTGACATTCTTTTCGAAGAGGACAAGCAGTTCTGGTCTGGAGTCATGACACTAATTAACCAGTCGAAACGTCCAATCATAATAACATGTAACGACGAGAACCTCATCCCTCTTCAAGACATAGGATTTCATGCCATCCTTCGCTATCGAGCTCCTCCACTAGACCTTGCCGTCGACTACACCCTCCTCCTAGCTGCAAATGAGGGCCACATGCTCAAACGCAACGCTGTTGAGGACCTATATGCGGGCAACGGCAGAGACCTTCGGCGGACCGTCATGGAACTCGGATTCTGGTGTCAAATCGCGGTTGGGAGCGAAAAGTCTGGTCTCGATTGGATCATCGACCGGTGGCCACGGGGTTCAGATCTCGACCAGAATGGCGATCCGCTCCGAGTGTTGAGTTTGAATACATACGAGCCACACATGGGCTGGTTTAGCCGCGATATCTTGATGTGCAACGGCGTAGACGCTGATATAGAAACCCAGCATGAGGCCTTCAATTGGTGGCAGCTTAGCACACAAGAGTCGGAGAGTATGGCGGATGCCAAGTCTAACCTTTCCAAATCGCCATTGAACCCGGTTTCGGCTACAACGAACACTGAGCGGATTGATCAACTACGGCAGGCGTCCGAGTTTATGGATATGAAGAGCGACCTGGATATTCTTGGCTCCTGTTGCTCGATTGAAGCAAAACTGGTAAGCCATGGCGTGACTGTCATCCCATACACAATTACCAGACGTTGACCGTTTCTCTAGGATGTTGTGGATACGTCGGCTCCTTCCATGACCGAGAAGCAGCGATCGAACTACGCTGAAGGCTACACATTACTCGACACCTCCCTCGTGCCTGACTATTCGCAAACGCAAACTGCCATTGCTTGTACATTTGAGGTCCTACTTGGGAGGGCCTTTCGGCGTGGCGATGGACAGGACGAGGCCGCTCGAGCTGCCCAGGTGCTGGAAAATGTTGCTAAGCCCGACCCTGCGAATACGTCCGAAGCAGGTCTTCTCTCCGCATTCGCGCCCATTATGCGGGCTGACCATGTGTTTCCTGCACCTACGGGACGCTTGGCCCCCTCATTCGAGAATGGCCTGGCGCCTATTGCCGAAGATCTAGGCCCGTACATTCGCGGGATCATGTCCTATGACATGCGTCTCGCACAATATCGACACTTGCTGACTGGGGCGCTATCTGAGGACCAGAGCGGTACGAAACGCGGGCGACAGACCAGGGCTAGCCGAGCGGCGCTGGAAGGGGGGAGCAAGGCTCATACGCGGAAGGAAAGATGGTTTGCATCAGATGCGAATCCATCGTTGATCCTGGCCACTGGCAAGCAAGAATGGCAAGATGTTTTGGTGCAGAAGGGATATTTTGCGGTGCCCTCTGGTGGGGAAAGCATGCCGGAATGCCATGAGCAGGCATCGGAGAGTTCAAGTGAAGGAGGCATCTAGCGGTGAATGGGTGCACGAGATGGATGTGACTGCATTTTTAAACCAGCGTATATAGTATACATAGATACCAGATGGGATGTGACGCCATGGAATAGAAATAATGTGCGAGATATGTTGTTGTTGACAGTAAAGTGCAATTGAACCATGGTAGGCGAGGGGGTCCTTGACTTGCCAGCCGCACTAGCGCCTCCCGCCGGTGGAGCGCCGACTGTCCCCCAAAGAGAGACGGACACTCGCTCACTTGCACGCGTTGCTGCTGTCTTATCATCACCCCGAAGGAAGAGCAGGCCCTTTTCCCTCGCTGGTACCCGATTGTTCATCGCTGATATTTCAATCGGCTGCTTACTATCATCTATTTCTGTCTGGTCTGCTGCTTCTAAACCCTCTGTGGCCGTAGAGGTGTCTGTCGTGGTGGTGTGCCCTGTCGCGCCGCACTTATCATCACTGCTCCTCTCCGACCGAGCTCCGCTTCGTCACTACCTATCAACAGTCGCATCCATCGTCCCCAGCCACCACCGTCTCCATGTCTCTGTTCGGCACCTCGCCGGAGGACTCTCCACTGGCTAGTTCGATCCAGAGGTCCAAGGCCTCCCTTTTCGCCGACGAGCCGCCTTATGGCAGCAATACTGGCAATGCGAGTTCCTCGCTGTTCGCCGATGACGACAGCTCCGGCTCACCTTGGATGAGTAATAATGCCAACAAGAGAACGTCCAAGGAAGAGATTGTGAAGACCCTGCTGCCAGATTCCGATGTCCCCGAGACTTATATCGATGCGTATGATCTAGTGCTTAGTGCGGGGGACCGCGTTGGAACCGGTGTCGGGTTGACGTCCATTCGGGAAATACTGTCGGGCAGTGGCCTGAGCGCCACCGATCAAGCGAAGATACTCAACCTTGTTATCTCGGGTGATAGTGACAGCTCCAATGGTCTTGGCCGGGGAGAGTTCAGTGTCCTACTAGCGCTCGTGGGTCTTGCGCAGGAAGGCGAGGACCTTACGTTTGATGCAGTGGACGATCGACGCAAGAGTGAGTTGGCGCTGAAACTTGTCTACTCTAATTAAGCCACTAACGGGCGCGGCATGCAGAGCTCCCAGTGCCGAAAAGCTCTTACCTCGACGCATTGCGCGCCAAACAGGAATCGGCTACACCTGTCCAGTCACAAGACCGTCCCGCTACGCCTCCTCCTTCCTCCGCCCCCTTACGAGAACCGAGCTCGACTCAGTCGCGACGATCTGCCCGAGGGTCGATGGGCAGCTTTGAGGCGGATCCATGGGGTAGTCCCCAGCTGCACCGTGGTCATAATCATGCCCAGACCGAATCTGAGCACGCCGTGTTGAATGGGTTTGGGAGCGTGCGGTCGGGATTCAATGCCTGGTCGAGTAGGGCTAGTGACGGGGATCATACACACGGAGCGTCCGATAACGGCCGTGCCAACGGCCATACCGATACTGCACCCAACAACGCTGGATTTGGATGGGGGGAGAACGCGGGGAATACATCTGAGGGCAGTGGTGGTGGACTGGGAGGGCCTGTCCGAGCGGGACTTGGAGGCTTTGGCTCCTCTGGAAGCGATCAGGGCGAGCCTAATCCCCGTCGGCGGTCGTTGGGGATAGGCCGGGTCAGCAGCCCCCGTCTAGAGGAAGTCATAACAATCACGCTGCTCCCGGAGAAAGAGGGCATGTTTATGTTCCAACATCGCAACTACGAGGTAAAATCGGCGCGTAGGCAGAGCACGGTTGTGCGACGGTATAGCGATTTCGTCTGGCTCCTGGACTGCCTCCACAAACGATACCCATTTCGGCAGCTGCCTTTGCTTCCACCCAAGAGACTTGCAGGTACGTTTAAACAAAAGCTTGTTACAAGCTCTCCAAGATTACTTACCTGGTAAAAGTCAATGGCACTCACCTTGCAGCGGATTCCAATTCCTTCCTTGAGAAGCGTCGCAGAGGACTCGTCAGATTCACCAATGCCCTCGTTCGTCACCCGGTTCTTAGCCAGGAGCAGCTGGTTATTATGTTCCTAACCGTCCCTACGGTATGTCTGATTCTGGTTTCTTTTTTCAACATCCTTCTAGGGGGTGGGAGCTAACGTTGGGTAGGAACTCTCGGTTTGGCGTAAGCAAGCCACAATATCGGTTCAGGATGAGTTCACAGGCCGAGCGTTGCCTCCCGATCTAGAGGACTCGTTGCCGTCGGATCTGACGGACATGTTCGATACGGTTCGTAGTGGTGTCAAGAGGTCTGCCGAGGTATACATCAATCTATGCACTTTACTCGAGCGGTTAGCCAAGCGCAATGAGGGGCTTGCCGCGGATCATCTGCGATTCTCTCTCGCCCTTCAGTCGCTTACTGAGATGACGCGGGATACGTATGCCTTTGACACCAACGACGTGCCGTTGCTCAACGAGGGCATCAAGGCCACCGCGAGGCACCTTTCGGCCAGCCAGAGCTTGCTGGAAGATGAAGCACGAGCCTGGGAGGAAGGGATGCTGGAAGACCTTAAGCGCCAGCGGGACTGCCTGGTCAGCGTTCGCGAGATGTTTGACCGGCGAGACCGGTATGCGCGCAACAACATCCCCCAGTTGGAAAAACGGATTGAGAACAGCGAGAGGAAACTGCAAGATCTACGGGCGCGGACTCAGCCGGTAAAGCCTGGGGAAATTGAGAAAGTAGAGGAATCAATTGTCAAGGTATGGACTCGGCTACCATTTCTGAAGAGGGCAGTGTGGGGGAATTGAAAAATGGAAAGAGAGCTGACCTTGCATGTTACTGCTGTAGGACAAGGAATCGATTGTGCATCAGCACGCACGTGGGGTGTTTATCAAGGAATGCATCCGCAACGAACTTATGTATTTCCAACAGAGCCAGTATCACATCAGCCGGCTTCATCAGGACTGGAGCCAGGAGCGAGTGAAATATTCGGAGCTGCAGGCTGACAATTGGCGGTCACTGAGCGATCAAGTGGAGGGAATGCCACTGGGTGATTAGACTTCGACAGGGTCCAGTCTGTTCCCCGTGTCGCTGTTGGCGCGTATGTCTCGATAAATGTGTGTGACTTGTCAATGTGGGAATTAGTATCGGCGGTGGTCTTTGCTCAAAATCTTGTCACTTTTATTTGCTTCTCACACGCATAATGCCTCGCTTATCTCCCCCCTTTTTCCGCTGTGTTTGCTACGACGCTGTTCCATCTACGCTGCTGTGTTGTTTAGCCTGAAATCTGTTGTCTTGTTTTATTTTGTGCCCGTGATGTGTTTGTTTGTCGTGCTTCCAAGCGACTCCTGTTCTCTCCGTACTCGGCTGCAGATTGCAGGGATGATCTTTTGACACATGGTTGGGTTGCTTTTTGGGACTGACCTGCAGGAGAGAGCACTTGCATGCAGAACCAAGTCAAATTAGGCATTCATCGTGGGTCTGTCTGTCTGTCTGCCTCGTGCTGGTTTTTTTCCTTCCCCAGTTGACTTGAGCTCAGGTGACTGGTGGGTTGTCTCGTAAGAATTTGCCCACGAGTAGTTGTAGACCCAGCAGACACTAACTGGTAATCCGTACTTACTGCTGACTGACGCTAAATACTCGCATTCAGCAAGTGTGTGTATTACTATTAGATTTCGATCCTCCCTTCTCCAGCAGACAACACCAGGAACAACCCCAAACCATCCAATTTAGAAACCTCACATACCCGCACTTAGGTTAACAAGGTACATGACGTAGGATAAAGTCACCAACTGAACCCCAAAACCAGCATGGCGCGCTAGCCGGGATAAAATCAAAGTGAAGCAGCACCTCATCACCCACTCACTGTAGAGTCGAATTAAACCTGACCCGGACCCCATTGGCTAAATTGAAATACCACTAGCTCAGTAGTTGCAGCCAGGAACTTCTACATACATACATACGTATCAAATATCGTGTCAGTTCCTGGGCACGTGCAACATGATGCAGCGAGGGCTAGAGCGTTACTATCTACTACCCATAGTTAAGTAATCTGGTTAGTGTGCAGAGCACCTATTACTTAACAAGTACTAGTAATAATAATAATAATAATCAACTAATCTATTATTTTTTCTTCACTAGCAAGTACCTAGTATGTGATAGATACTGATTCAAGATCCAATCCTGCAGATGCAGGAGATAGGTAGATAGATCGATGGTTTTCATCACACTAGATATATGTCATACTTGGGGTTTTCTTCAACCCCATATTCTATTTGTATTGCTTTCATGGTATTACTACGCTATGTGAGATGCAAGAACTTGACGAAGCGGAGTGATGGGATGGGGATGCTTCTGGAAGGGGGAGTAACTCTGATACTACTATCGCGATAGTTGATGGTTTTGTGTTACCTTCCTAGTGTATTATTGAACTTAATTGTTGTTGAGACTAGAGGGGACAGTTGTGGTGAGATTGAGATAGTGGTAGTATTTACTTTTCTCTTGTTGTATTCGATGAGGGATTAATGCTGGGTCTAGTCAGTTATAGAGTTGTTATTGATGGGTTTTTATAATACTGATTTGTGATTGTCATATTAAGCCTGTGGTGGATTTACTAGCACTTACTATACTATACTCATAATGAAATGTATTTTGCATAGTCTAGTCATTGTGTTATATAGGCTTGAATGTCAGCAAATGAACGAAACATGATAAATAGGCTTGTATTAGTATAGTCGTTTTGTCAACGTGACCTCACTTCCTTGCAGGAATAACTATGTCGTTAAGGAATATAGAAGTTGTAGGTATATGACAGTGTTAAAAGAGTATAAATGTAGTGATACTATCTGACTAGTAGTAGTATGCCAAACAGTAGACAACTAGTAGATAGAGTTCAGCAACATCATAATGATGCTTTTCCTTCTTACTGTAGTGTTCTGGCGCCCTCCTACGTGGGGTGGCAAGGGGCACAGGCTTGAGTCTAAATGAATTGTAGACATAATTGAGTTTGTCTCAAAGCTTATTTGGCATGGTGGTGTAAGACACTCGAGACTGCCTCCATTAAGCCAACTAGTATCTCTCGTGGTGAGCACAATAGACCTATCCATTCTGTGTCTTTTTGGATCGCTTTCTGTGGTTCCCCTGCAGCTAGTAGACAACCTAAAAAAAAAATGTCTCCATGCAGTTCACTCAAAGGCTAGCATTGGGTCTCCATGCCTGCTAAGGCAAACGGGCATTGGATTGGGCTCTGCTGTGAACTTTATTCTTGTTCACGCTTCGTGGGTTTGAAAGTACGGTGCAGTATATGCATACCTACCATACATATCTACCTTCCTCGTGCAGTTGCAAGGCATTCGGGTTTCTGCAGTGTAGACACTAGTTAACCACCGTAATAGCGTAGAGCAGAGTCAATTGTTTGCACAGCCCACCTGCCACTCATCATGCAAGTCGCAAGTGTTTGGCGCGGCTAGTCATGAGCGGGCATTTTTCAGTCTGTCACACTCACACATTTACCTACCAAACAAGGAATATCTGCATAGGATATGGCTGTCGTTGTCTAGACCGGACACGTCGGGATAGTGTAGGTTTTGTGGGAGGTGGGTTAACAGTTTGTTTGCCGTCTTCCAGTTTCTGCTTCATGCTTTTCTAAACATATCGAGAGGTTTCTCTTATGCAGTAGAGGGACAATGCCTATTTTTGGATGTCTGCCATTGGGTTTCATCCGCTCAATTCCGGTTCTGACCCACCAGAATAGACATTGGGATCAATTCTGTATAAGTTGAGTGGTATGGCGAGCACCCTCAAGTCAAATCTGACTGTGCTCCAGTAAAGAGCCCAAATGGTTGAGTCCACTATGAAGGGCAACAGGAGGAGTAAGCGAAGGTGTACCTGTTCTAGTATCTGGTGTACCTGACTCGCTGGATCTAGTCCACACTAGGCCAGTTCCGAACAGTCAATCAGAGTGCTTTTCCCTTGTGATAGTAATCGGAGAGCGCTGGACCTGGGAATGGAGACGGAACCTGGTGGGTTGAACTACCACTGACTTACCAGATTGGTACTAAGCGGAAAGAGACCGTGGGAGACCCAGCGTAAGTGGCGGGCGAGAGAAGAAGTGCAAGAGGGGCTGCTTCCCCACTGTGGAGTGAGACTAACGGTTTAGTGTTTCTCACCGCCAATAAAGACCGGCAGGAAAAGTCTCGGCAGCCTCGCAGGGCGAAGAGCGATAAGCCCCCCCGGCTTGCCCGAGCGGGTTAAGGTGGGAGATGTTGGTGCAGCACCGATCTCATGTGGAAAAGGGCCAAAAAAGGTGGGAAAGAGAGAAAGGAGAGAGAGGCGCTATCGCTGCATGGCGTCATGGTAGTTGATTGGCACCAGCTGGTGTGTGTGATGAAGGATGGATGATGAGGAAGATGTTTTGGTGACCAGTGACTGGTGACACGGTCTCCCGCCTGTCATGGAACTGGAGCTGGAGATGAGGTTTGACACGAGATCAAGCTTATCCTGCATCCTCCATCTGATACATGCCACAGAATTGGCCGGTTACAGTATCTAGACCAATCTATCTATCGAGTTATCTTTCTCCAGGTTACACGGGAAATCTCCCAGCGGTAGGTCAGATCGGAGGAACTGGTCTGGGGCACAATAGACAGGTGGTACTGCTGATTTAGGTCGAATCATCGGGAGAACTGAGCACACCGGCCACTTTTCTAGTATCTACATCGTGACTAGTATTGACTGGGGCAACTATCAATGGATGGATGGAAGCAGGTCCCGGAGATGCCGGGTGAGAGAAGCCGAGTTGAAGAGTTGGAGAGCGGGTTCAACTTTACGCGAGGTTACCAAGTGGGATGCCAACCCAGACTCTTGGTCATTGCCAAGGGATACTCGGGAAATGAAGGAAGTAAGCCAGAGTGAGATGAGGATGTGTACAGTACACAGTAGAAGGGAAAAAGTTGACTAGAAACGGGCGAGAAGAGGAAACGAAGCAATCTAAAAACGAGAGTCCCGCTCCGCCAAGCCTCAAAATTGTTCGTTCCGCGAACGACCATGGATCCTCTCGCTCTGTGCTTCCTCCTCTTACTACCAAACTAACTTAGTTACAGTGGCAGGGAGAGAGAGAGAGAGAGGAAAAAGAGTTATTCGCACCATTCCCCGCCCGGTCTGATCCGCGCTTTCTGATTCCTTCGCCCCGTCGCTTTCCTGCGTAATCGCTTTCGTTACGTTTCGGTGCTGGGCTGCATCCAGTGTCCCCCCCCAACCTTCGCATCAAATCAAGCGTCACGATGCCGCTCGGGCACTGGGTCTCGGGCTTGGTTGTGGTCTTGGTATCCCTATCGCCTTCATAAAGGAAATTTCCGGTCTTCTGGTCCCGGCCATTCGCCAGCCTTTGCCCAGACGCCCAGTCGTTCTTGGTTTTTTCTTGTCCCTCCACGCGCTCTCTCTGCCTTGGTGTTGCTGGTCCTGCGCTGGGCTGAGAAACCTTGGAGCTCTCTCTTTCCCCGTCTCTCTACTTCTCCCGCCCTTTCTTTTCTTGGGACACCTTTCCTCCTACTTACTCCTCCATAACTCCCCGGTCTTTTCACCTCGTCTGACCGCACCCCTCTCACCTTTTTTTTTTTGTTACTCTCTATCTTGGTATTCTCCTTCTTGAGCGTTTCCTTTTCTGGCGGAGTCGGTCAACATATTATCGGAGATCATCCGGATAAACCATCCATTGCCTCTTCTGGTAAGCCCGGAACCTCTCTCTCACTCCCACCTTCATAATCTACCTTCTCTCTCGATAGTTACACGGACCAACTCTTTTTCCTTTTTTTTCCTCCCTTCTGCTACCATCCCTTTTTCTTCCTTTTCCCCGGAACTTATCTCACGTCCAGCGCTCACCTAGGCATCTCTTTCCCCCCCCTTGCAGGACGCACCCGCGACGCCCTTGGAACAACCGCGCCGCCTGCCCCCTCCCTGTCCTCCTCCGACCTCGCCTATTCTCCGCGGCGTCCGTCGCCTTCAGCTCGGTCCGCGTTTCCTGATCCCCCGAGGTATGCGGGAACCCGGCGCGTTGGTCAACTTTTGAGGTGGATCTCCCTTGCTTGATTGCGCATTGGTCCGATCGGTGGAGGTATACCCGGGATTTACGGTGCCTGGTGCAAGGCTATATCGGGGTGAAGATCACGGGCTGCGCGGGGAGGAATTAAATCAAGCCATCCCGCAGCTCGAGCAAGCGCCCGCCGCACGACCGCTGTAGTAGTTCCCGGACCCTCCGTCCGCCCGTCGCAACCATGGCGTGGGATCATTTGGACATCGACAAGCCGCATCTGGCTTACATGATTCTGGGTGGCTTTACCAGTCTGTTCATGCTGTGCTCTTTGTTCGTCAAGGAGAAGCTCTACATCGGTGAAGCCACCGTTGCTACCCTTTGCGGTATCATTTTCGGGCCTCATGCGGCCAACCTGTTCAATCCCAACTCGTGGGGCAATGTCGACAAGATCACCCTCGAGTGCTCTCGCATCGTCTTGGTCGTCCAGTGTTTCGCCGTCGGCGTCGAGTTGCCCAAAGCGTACATGGAACGTCACTGGAAATCCGTCTTTCTGCTGCTGGTGCCCGTCATGACCTGGGGCTGGCTGGTGACCAGTCTCTTTATCTGGTGGATGGTGCCTCCCCTCTCTTGGCTGGAGAGTCTCGTGTGCGCCGCGTGCGTCACCGCCACGGACCCCGTCTTGGCCTCGTCCGTCGTAGGTAAAGGTAAATTCGCGCGACGGGTTCCCAAGCACTTGAGAGACTTGTTGTCTGCCGAGTCGGGCTGCAACGATGGCATGGCCTTCCCCTTCATTTACCTGGGATTCTACATCTGGCGCTACCGCCCCAATGCCGGGGAGGTGTCGCTCAACTGGTTCTGCATTACCATCCTCTACGAGTGCGTCTTCGGCGCAATCTTTGGCTTCGTCATCGGCTACCTCGCGCGTCATTCGATCAAATTCGCCGAGCGCAAGGGCTTGATTGACCGTGAGAGTTTCCTGGTCTTCTACTTCGTGCTCGCCGTTTTCTGCGCCGGCTCAGGCAGTCTGCTGGGCATGGACGACCTTCTGATAGGCTTCTCGGCCGGCGTCGGCTTCAGTAACGATGGTTGGTTTACAGAGAAAACAGAAGAATCGCACGTGTCTAACGTCATCGATCTCCTGCTCAACTTGGCCTACTTTGTCTATTTCGGAGCCATCGTCCCCTGGGAGGACTACAACAACCCGGACATCGGCCTTGTGCCCTGGCGGCTCGTAGTCATTGCCATCCTTGTCATCTTCTTCCGCCGCATCCCGATCATGTTGATGCTGAAACCTATCATTCCGGATGTGAAAACGTGGCGCGAGGCCCTGTTTGCCGGCCACTTCGGCCCCATTGGTGTCGGCGCAATCTTCGCTTCTATCCTGGCCCGGGCTGAGCTAGAATCAGACAGCACCGAGCCCTGGTCCGAGTCGGACTTGCCGGGTCCGGGCAGTCATAATTACTATATCATCCAGCTGATTTGGCCCGTCACCACCTTCATGGTCATCTCCTCGATCCTGGTCCATGGTTCGTCCATTGCCGTGTTTACGTTAGGAAAGCGCATCAACACCTTGACCATCACGCTGTCCTACACCACCGCCAACGAGGAGGGTCCTTCCTGGATGAACCGCTTGCCTCGCGTGCAATCTCTTGCTAAAGGTTCCATGTCGTTCCGGAAACCGGATGAGGACGAATCTTCGAATGAACCGGAATATCCTCCAGGGACGCTGCCCCCCATTGGTGTGCCAGGCAACTTCCTGCGTCGGGTTCGCGACGAAGATACGGAGTCAACGGGTGGTAGATCTGCACGGAGGCGCCGCAGACGTCGCAGACGCACCGACGGCGCCGGTGGCCCGATCAGTCAGTCAGCTATTGCCCCTCAACGCCCACTGGAGACGGAGTCGGATGAGCAAAAGGAAAAGAGCGATGAATCCAGGGAGCGCGACAAGATCGAACGCGAGGCTTCCCCGCCCTCCAAGGAAGCCGATAAGTTTGGACGCGAGCCTGCGCTCGAGGTTTATCTGGAAGGTCACAACATGGTCATGGAAGATGAAGAAGGCAACGTTCTCAAGGTTGAGGATATCAGTCATATGTCCACCGAGGAGCAACAGCGTCATATGGAAGAACAACGCCAGAAGTTGCAGCAACAATCGGATGAATACGCCAAATCGCGCAGCCAGCCTCATGGCAAGACTGAAGGAGAGGAGATTGAGCAGGCCATTGGCGAAAAGACCGGACACCCGCTGGATAAGGCTCGCAAGCGTTTTGGCCAGTGGATTGGGCTTGGGAAGGGTCGTGCTGAGGACCAAGAGGCCAAGGAGGCCAAACAGACTGATGAGAAGAAGAAGGCTGAGGAAGCATCGAGAAAGCCAGCCAAGGCCAAAGGTCGCTCCGCTCACGCCTACCAATTCGGCAACACCATCATCGTTGAGGACGAAGATGGAGAAGTTATCAAGAAGTATTCCATTCCTTCCGGGGATAAACCTGAGACGGATGCTCCTGTTCGTCGCGGACTGACAAGAATGGGCACGTGGTTCGGCATGGAAGAGGAGGGCGAGTCATCCCAGGCCGCCCGCAAGGCTGCTCAAGACGACTGGCTGGCGGATGATGGTCTGCGTTTCACCCTGGCTGATGACAATGATGTCGGCAAGAGAGGCGTCGAGCACAAGGGTCGCCGCATGACCAAGCATGAATTTGCTCAACAGATCCGTAACCTTGGTCCCAAAGCACGTCGTGATGTGGTCGAAGAGACCGACGCCCCCGAACGGGTAAAGAAGGTGGCTCGCGAGGAGGCTCAGAAGGCTGAATCGCAAGAGCGCCGCCGATCAGACCCCGGAGTGGCTTCGCGGCCTGCCCCTGCCCCCGTCGCAGAGGATGACGAATCCGGCACCGGAAGCGAATTCACGGACGACGAATCGGACGTGGAAGTGCCCGGCGACATTGCCGCTTCGTTGGCACGGTTCACACGTGGCACAGCAGCCGAAGAGCGTCGCAGTTCCCACCTCAGTCCTACATCCACGTCTCCGAAATCGCGTCCCCGGTCACGACGGGATTCCGATGATGATGGCACGGAACGTATTCCGCCCGCCCAACTTCGCGAAGCGGCCGGACTCACTCGTCCTCCCCAGCAAGCGGACTTGGATGACACAGGTGAAACGCCAGCGGAACGCCGTCGTCGTCTGGCTGCACTTGGTGAAATCAATGACTCGGAGGATTCTGACGATCCGGATGCTCTTCTAGAAGACACGGATGATGAGGGCAATGATACTGAGGCGAAGGTCTCCTTTGCCGACGGCACGAAGCCCCCAACCAGCAGACAACAGTCGGGAGAAAACTCCAGTGAGGGACAAGAGAATAATTCTCCATACAACCGACACAGTCGCAGTCAGAGCCGACGGAGCATCTCCTGGGGCGGCGAGAAGGGCCGTGAAAATTAAGACAAAATCGCAAAATATGCAGCGAACACAGAGTGAGGGGAAAAGTGAACTTTGGGCAGTGAAGCTGAAAGGGAATTCTTTCAAAGGAGAAATAATATAAGAGCCCAAGGAAAGGAGGGGGGGAAGGAAATAAAAGGGGAGGGCGGTGAAACCAACGCAACCTTGCGGTGTAGAAAGCTCTTCTTTTCTACTGAGCCAAGAATCAGCAGGTCCTTCCTAGAGCTCGGTTATGGGTTTGCTTGTTCTTGAGCATCTGGAGTTCGTTTTGCATGCATGGCTGGATGCGATCATGTATAGAGCGCGCTTTCACTTTTTTGTGTAACTACTTTTACCCTTTTGCATTTGTTTGTCCCACCGCCTGCTGGTGCCCCGCGCTGTGCAACCCGGCCAGCTCAGCCCAGCTGCCTCTTGTTGTTGTGTACTGTGGATCAGTACTATTGCTGCTGTTATTGACTGATAGAATGATGGATGGGATGGATTGGCTGACATATGGTGCCTACGCCTAGCACCATGATTTTGTAATGGGTACGAAGTACATATAAGTACATATATGATATAGTATATTATTTTCTTCAGAGTTTCCATTCTGCTCTTTCTCCATTCTCATCCTGGTCATTCTACTTAGTGGTAGCACTTAAGTGCAGCAGTGAGATAGTAGAGCCACAACTTGGTACTATCAAATCCTGATTTCGGTAGTAACGCCACAGCAATAAAATATGCTTTTCTCGGCCCCTTAACTACTAGTAAGATAGTAATGATAACGGGCACCCCAGACTTGTGGAAACCCATCATTCAGTTACTATTAGTTTTACTACTAACGATACATTGATTGCAGTACTACTAGTAATAGTACCAGCTAAGTAGTAATTGCACCCAATGAAGCAAGAACCATACCATATGATGTTAGCATATCATATCTACTTAGTAAATACTAATATATTTATCCTACATGCTCACTCAAGCCATTAATGAATGTACTATGCCCGCAGGCGTGCCTTGGAAAAGAAGTAGTCTGCCAGGATAGTAAGTAGTTACTATAAACTAGTAAAGTAACTAATAAATAGTAATAGTAGTAGAAGTAGAGAGTATCCTCCCTGGGAGGTCTAAGCCATTATTCTCACTTCGAAACGCAGAGTGAATGAGTCAGTCGTAAACACAATAGACGAGTGTGATATGATTTTAGTTGGATTTGTGGGAATATATATAAGTAATATTAGATGATGGTGCTATGATACTAGTACTAGCTTGTTTATTTGTGAGGGGGTGGTGAGGAGTATTAAGATCATGATTATCTTTGGAGCATTAGTAAGTAGATATTTCGGGTCTATAGGCCATACTATATAATAGTAGTAATATGTCGGAGGGTAAGGAGGGAACTTCATTTGGGGTGTGGGACAAGGTATTTAGTATATGAACAGAATACTATGTAGTGCACGAATTGAGTATATCATGTCGTGACTGTAATTAGATGGGCAACTATGCTAGGATGAACGTAAGCCGTCTATCTATACTATGCCTATATTTCTCAAAACATGCGTGAGAATATTTGGAGTGGACATAGGTAAGTGCAAGTTCACTATGAATGCTGCATGGACCCGGAAGCAGACAAGTTGGAAGTAAATGTAGACAGAAGTTTATTCAGAGAAATTAAGATGGTAAGTAGTATGTGTTGAACTCAGACATAAGGTAGCCGGTAAGTAGAAAGAGATAATAGTGCAGAGAGAAACCCAACAAATGCCACGCTGATACATGAGCTTTTCCTATTCCGGGATCCCCAACACCGTAACACCGCTGATATGATGATGATGATATGAATTGAGACAACGACAGAAGCCCGCACAAATGGTCTGAGAGAAGATCGAGAAGAATGAGAGGAATGAAACGACCCCATGTCAGGGTCCGGGGGGTATCTCAAGCAACAATTAAACGTGATGATGCTTCCATCGAGAATGATGCTGCAGTGTGCTGCTCACAGCACGCCGCCGGGCAGATTAATCTGTGCCTGTCGTCCCTCAAAGCCAGCACTATTCGGTGCAGATCCTCCCCCGGAATACATGCCGCTATCGATGGGATGGACCTGCTTTCGTAGCATGAACATGGGCTTGCGTCCTTCCTTTTCGAGCTGTTTGAACAGGATGAGTGGTCGTTCCTCGAGCCCAAGACATCGTTCTTGGTCACCATATACAATGTATAGTGCATATTGTTTCCAATCGGCGTTGATGTTATACTTCTTGAGCGCAGCCGGAAGAACCTTGTGGCATGGATCGTCCATCGACACGCGGAAGGACTTGAAGATTTCCACGCTCGGTGGATCCTGAGTCGCCCTTGAGTCTGAACGAGTGGGAATGTCGGGGCGTGTAGATTGTGTTGGTGTAGGGTTCAGACGGTCTGGCCGCGACTGTGACGCCGTGGCATCGTCGTGGTGGTTATGCGAGACGTGGTTTATGCTGCTAGAACTCGGTTGGGTATATGCCCGGGAGGCTAGGGTCTGTGGAGCGTATTGATTGCCTGGAGAGGTCGGGGACGGAATGCCTGGAGATAATTGCGACTTGCCATTCAGCATAGTCAAGTGGGAGGAATTTGCCGTGGACGGATCTAGCCCATCACTGTACATGCGGCCCTCGTGGATCGACGGGGGAATGTGGGTAGGGGAGTTGGTCTTGGGAGTAGTGCCTCCATTGTGGCCACGTTTGGAGAACGTCCGAGATAGAATACTACCAGAACGATCCAGGAGCGTGATTCCGGACGGAGATGTGAGCGTTGGCCCATCATGGTATCCCTCCGAGCCGGATCCTGGCACAGAGGAAGGCGGGGGCAACGGCTGTGACTTGTCTTTCGCCATCTTGAACACGGGAAGAAGCTCTTCGCGCAGTCGACGATATTCCTCTGCAATCCGTCGCATCTCTGACTCCATAGACATAATACGGTCATCGCGTACGCGGATGGACCGAATCAACCGGGAAATATCGTCCTGGGTGGCGGTTTCGTTCATACTTTGGTCCGCGGCTGTCGATGTAAGACACATTAGCAAGTCGATTTACAGGTAGCACCTGCATAGTAGAAATTCAGTGGACATACACAGTGGGATGTAATGATCTGCGTCAATCGGAATATCTTGCTTGACCTTCGTTTCGTATACACTCTTCAAGATAGTCAATCGATGTCCCACACTCGCGATCCCCATCTCCTTAAGTTCATCATGTTTCAGGGCGATGAGCGCTTCGCCAACGATTTCGTTTTCTGTTGTAATACAAACACCACGCAGTCAGTGATCCGAAAGCCTTAGCGCCTTTGTTTTGATACCTTGGGGACTTACCTAGAAAAGCGGCGCAGTATTGACGAAGACCAAGGGCGGCAACGAAGTTGGCGCATTCCTCAKCGGTCCATTCGGTGATGATTGTCCGAGGCGATCGTGGATTGTCGTCGACATTGGCCAAAGTCGTGGGGGTATGCTCTGCTGACGGGAATTCTGATTCGGAAGGGGAGGCCTCGGAGTCGGTGGCCAGATGAGGGGACGTGATCACGCTGCGCTCGTACTCGTCGTCCGCATCCGAGTCGGCATGATAGGAGGTATGGAGAGACATGACGAATGAATTCATTCAATAACCGGTGACGACGCCCGGAGACACGTAGAGGAGGGGGCTGGGGAGGACGTCGGACCGGCTAGCAGACTCAGCGAAGCGCCAGCCTCTAGACCCGAGATAGATCGCCAAAGATTGAGTACAAAGAATAGAGCCGGTCGCACAGAAGGCGTTGGAGTTGTCAATCACGGACTAACCGACCCGGATGATGAGTGTTGGGAGCCAAACTTCGTCGAGCAGGCGTGCCACATGAACGGGAGGGACGGCAAGCGGGTGAATTATAAGGACACCGACAGTGAAGTTGGACCGAAGCTGCGAAGCGCGGAGTTTCTGATGAAGGAGACTCAGGAGGAAGAAGCTGATTAAGAGATAGTGGAGGGCGAAAGAGCTAGTAAAGAGGAAGAAGGCGAGGTGACGAAGTAGAAGAGACGAGGAAGCATGGAAAGAGGCCGTGATGGAAGAGGAGCGGAGGGGGATCCTGAGGCCAACAAGGCATGCAGCGACAGCGAGAGCGGGGAAGCTCGGCCAAGTTCTGGGGGTCCAACCGGATGATGAGAAGTGCGAAAGGGAGAAGACCCTCGTTGATGATAGTTGGTTGGTCGACGAAGAAGAGACCAAGGGCCACGAGGAAGGGAGACTGGGTGAACTGGGGTGTTCGAGCAAGCAGATGAGAGGCAGCGATGGACGGGGAAAGAAGAAGCAACAGCAGCAGCAGCAGCAACAGAACAAGAAGCTGGTTGGGCGCGGAGTCCAACGAACCGCCGAACGGGAAAACCAAGAGGCGCTTCTAAAGTTGGATCGCCACACGTGATGCCGGTCTGGACTCCCGCAAGTCACTTTCCTTGTGGATAGTAACTAGTAAGTAGTTTCTTAAAGTATACAGAGTACAGACAGCTCAGTCATCTGTTTTTATGATCATCCCAGTGGAATAGTCAATATCCCCCGTCTGCCTATATGATGGGGATCTATGGGATCTACGGTATCTACTGTCGGCCGTTTTTCGGCTCAGTCCGACCCCCTCTCAAGTACTTGCTCCGTTAATGGATCCCTCATCCTTGCTTCGTTCCCAGCCAGACTCTGGGCAAAACCTCTCAGTGACGCATCTTGCAGACAACGGGTGGGATACTCCAACGGAAAAACCAGGGTTAAAGCAAAAAAAAAAAAGGAGAGCCATCGCCGGATCCAAGCGCCAACACTTCTCCAAGCAGAAAATCGAAAATTGAGAAGAGGAGACGAATGGTGGACGGGGCCCATCCCCTGGCTGAAGTTCCGTGCGATTATGAGGACACTAACGAAGCGCCCATCCTAGTCACCAGCACTATTATCACACAAATGCTACTAGTTTCGATCGGGGTTCATGCAAACCAGAAGCATCGCTCGGCAGGCTTAACGGCCAGTGGACGGAGGGGGGTTGGTTATTCCCACTATTATTCAAGCCAGGCGCTGTCAAAATTCAATAGTGCCGGAGCCTCGACGTTTTCGGATGCTCTCTGGGTCCGAATCCTCCGCTGTCATCGTGCCATTCGTTCCCCATCTCGACGCTGAACTGTCGATGATTGTCCATGCAAGGACATCCATGGCTCCATCAGAAAATCTCTTTTCCACTCGTCTCCATCATCTTCCTCCCCTTGCCCCTTTTTTCTAGCATTTTTTTTAAACCTCCAATCCACTCGAGCTTGGATGGCCGCGGTTCTATATTTAACTTTCCTCGGATACTATCGCCGAAGGGCTTTGTCTCCGTGTGCCTGACTCTCCGTAGAAAGTCTATTTGCACCATCGATATCCCCCACCTAGCTAGTACAAAGCAGTAGTAGATGACAGAGCTTACGTATATTCAACGAGGGTCCTACGTAGGAAGTATAGGAGTCAATGGCACTTAGTCCTGCGCTGCAGAAAACGGCCGAGTCTCTAGTCTTGACCACCGAATTACATCCGTTGCATCTAGGAATATTTCAAGCGAACGGGTTTACTGTGGAGCAACCTGGGCAACACAGCACGCCTGTGTTCTACTATTGAGCCGCCGCTATTGAGGCGGTATAACACACACATAGTCTACCATTTCAACACTCACCATCTCTCAGGAGCTTTGCTATCGGCCACGCCGATCACATCAACCGGGGTCAAAAATATCCGATCCATAGTAACAGCGTAATTTCGCACGCATGAAAAAAAAAAAAAAAAAAAAAAAAAAAAAAAAAAAAAAAAAAAAAAAAGCAGATTCTCCTTCAGTCAGCACCGTGCTATATTCCTTACCCCCTCACCGTGCGCTGTCCACATGAATCAAGGAAGCAAGCGCCCGGATCTGGTCCTTCCTGCATGTACACACACGCTGCATGAGGACTACGGAAGGACGGACGATAACTGCCTTACCGAGTACATCTTATCAGCATCCCTCCCTTGCAAAGCTAAGAACCAGCCATCCCGCGATCGTGTCTTTTTTCCAATCCGGTTGTGACACCCTCAATCCCTGGCAACGCAGCAAACCTTACACGAACATGTGGGTGTGCCAGCCATCTGGAACAGCATTGATTCCTCCTTGTTGTTTACTTGCAGCATGGGAGGTGATTATTGGCACCTCGAGGCCCAGTGGAGCCCATGTATGTCTACGTAAGTATGGTATAATATGTATATGTATACCCATACCCACCCCGGCGCAATGATTGCATTCTGGTCAGTCCATTCGATGCGCCAACCGCCGTTGGATGCTATTTATATCGGACATACCCTGGAAAAGCCTTGTTCAGAATATGCCCCGCGTTCTCTCGCGCGCGCCTATCTACGCCTATAGCCTAACGCCAACCGGAGGAGCTGCAGTAGTAGTACTGTGTGATGCGATGCGATGCGACCCCAGGCGGCTAACCTTCCGTAAGATCGTTGGCTTTTGACCGGAATTATTCAAGGCGTGGCAAACTTCCTGCATCGTGAGAAACCCGTCACTGGCCCAGCATCTCTTGATGATATCTCCTAAGAACAGGTGGTTCGTGTCTGGGAGTTTGTCAGCGGTTGGCCAGGTTTTATATGTCTTGGACTCTGAATCATCATCTAGGTCGGCCTCGATGTCGGGTATAACGTAGAACTCGAGTTGTTTTCCAGGAGACAACCTCGTACGTCATCGATCCAAAGCGCGCAATGTTGGGCTTGACTGAAACGAAGTCTTTAGATACGAAGTTGGTCATGTCCCCATCGTCCGCGACGGTTGTAGACTCGATAAAATCGCGTATCTGGAGGGAGAGATCCTCCTCAAGTAGAAAATCCGTGTCGCAATATCGGCAACCAGTACACGCTGCTCGTGTAGTCGGCGAATGATACGTGTAGCCTCCTTGGAGCCATTGTAATTGTCGAATGTTGTCCACACTATCATAATGGGTACGGTAGATAGCGGCTGAGTGAAGCTCGGCGTAGATATAGCATTCGAATCTCGGTGTCAGAGACCTAATACGGCTTTATAATGCCTAAGACATACCCAAGCTGGCTATACACATGTCCCTTGTGCTTTAGTGATTGCTTGTTTAGCTCATTCGTTTGCTCGTGGTTGATGGTTGTCGCCTAGGAGGCATCCTCTGGCAGAGGCTATATATTAGCCGTTTGACAGCAATATTCCAAAGCGCATCACGCATCCTTCTCGACCAAGTCCGATCAGCCCGGGGTCATCATTGTTGCTCATCATGAATGGACACAGCGAAGATGGCTCACTTGTGGGCGGTATTTGATCCGTTAGTTGCAAGAATTGCGCACATAGAAGCCGAGCTCCTAGCGGTCATGTGTTGTAGCAGCTGAACAGCTTCGCCGTGAGCGAAGCACCGAATCATTTGCTTTCCAGTTATACAATCCTACCAATATCCAAATCCTAGAGCACATTATGGAAATTAGCCACGAAAGCTGACCATGTTTATGAAGGGGAGACATATTATCGTCATTACTATATAGATTGACGCTAATCAAATGCGGCAACTCATCTTATCGGCGGTTCCTGCGCTGACCTCCGACCACCGCAAGGCTCGCCTTTCCCCGGACTAGGATTATTCTCGCCCCCAAGTTCTCCTCAACCCCCTCCCTTCTTTTCTGCTTTTCACCTACTCCGACGCTCCCTATCACATCGTGAACCAGACAGGTAAGGTGCAGACAAGAAAATTACTCCCCCTTTAGAACCATCAAAGCTACTCCAGTCCGCGCAATCTTTTCCAGAACCGTACCCGCTAACCGATCGCGATCGCAGATATTGTATCTCGTTCCACGAGCAAGTCGCACGCCACCGTCGACTTGGGTGTATATATATACTTTGATACCTATTGCGCTAGCTCAGGCAATTCTACGTCTTGGTCCGGACCTCTCCTAACCGCCTATACAACGCAAGCGCTACACCACTCTCATCCCACTTCGCGCCGCGCCCACCTATCGTCACCTCGACTTAACCACTTACAGCACCTCAACCGACCCCAACCCTCCAAACCAACAATGCCCTCCTCCTCACCCAACCAACCCGCCTCAACCTCCCCATCTTCATCCGACCTCGAATCCGACCTCCTACAACACCTAACCAGCACTCCGGCGCTCGAAGACCTGCACGCCACGCTCCTCAGCTCTCTCCAGCGCCTCGGGTGGACAGAACGCATCCGCAAACTGGCTCAAGAACTCCTCCGCGGCGGGCGATGCGAGCGGTTCGACGAGGTGTTCGAGGCGGTAGTAGCGTCCGCGGAGGGGAGGAAGCATCCGGTCCTAGCGGAGGCCAATAAAGCGAAACAAAGCAATGGGAATAGTGGCGAAGAGGACGGCAGCGGCATTGGGGATCTGGAATCGTTTGATGTGAGGATTCCGTCGTCCGTGGTGGAGCAGGGGGTTAGGGCGTTGAAGGAGGTGTTAAGGGAGGTGGTGGTTGCGGAGGATGGGGGGGATATTCTGGGGGATCTTGAGAATGGGCATAAGGAGGAGGGTGGGAGTGGTGGGGGAGGGAAAGGGTCAAAGAATAGTAAGGACGGAGGAGGGGATACGGCGAGTCCGATGAAGAAGGTGAAGAAGGAGTCGAAGTCGGGGAGTAAGGTTAAATAATATGTGGTGTCTGTTGTTATACTGTGTGGTTGTTTGTTGGGGTTGGTTTGTTTTGTGGCGTGTTGGTATGGTGTTTGGTCCTTGTCAGGCAGTTTTTCCTGGCTATATTCCCTGGCTTATTGCTTTACGGCGTTACTTTATGGTTTATTACGGATGGCGTTGCAATATCCTGATACCAGCATGGGCATACATACATGCCTCGTTATTTTGTACAACAGTGGGGGTGTCTACCAAGACGTGCAATTCATTTACTCTTTAAGCTTATATTATGGCACTCAGTATGCGAGACAGATATTCGCAATCTTAGAACGTGAAAGGAAAAGGATAAAAGGAAAAAGAAACGGTAACCCAATACGAATTCGAACCGGGGCTATATCCCGGCCTCAAAACCCGCTGTTTCTAAGTAGTAGTAGTGCAGATGGATAACTAACTTGGAAACATGCAACCAGTCTAGTCATAGAGGCTGTCGTCATTGCCGGCTTCACCGAACGTGTTGTTGTCCGTCACCTCACCCGCCGACGGGAAGCGGAAGAAGCTGCTGCCGCCCGAGTTCTTCAAGCTCTGAGCAAACGCCTCGTACCGGCGAATCTCCACGTCGCTGACGGAGCGTCTGGCCGACTTCATCGCCTCCTCGAAGTGTGCCCGGGTAAGCTCCGGCACCGGGTCCTCCTCCTCAACCTCCTCGTCCTCCATCTTGACATCCTCGCCCTGAGCCTCACGCTGCTTCTGGCGTTCGATGTCAGCGCCGATGGACTGCTTGATGGCAAGCTTGACAGCACGCTGAGTGACGAAGCCAAGATCAGCACCGGAGAATCCGTGGGTCTTGCTGGCAATGAAGGAAAGGTCGATATCGCCAGCAATAGGGGTCTTGCGGAGCTGGGCTTTGAGAATGCTCTCACGAGAGGCCTGGTCCGGCAGAGGAACGTAGACCAGGGTGTCAAGACGACCAGGACGGACCAGAGCGGCATCGAGCTGCTCGGGTCTGTTCGTGGCACCGATGACGAAGACGTTCTTCTTGGAGGTCATACCGTCCATCTCTGTTTGGAAATTAGTAACTACCCATGTATAATATAGGCAACAAACTTACCGGTCAGGAGCTGGTTGACGACACGGTCAGAGGCACCGCCGGCATCACCGACAGAGCCACCACGAGACTTCGCGATGGAATCCAACTCATCCAGGAAAACAACGCAAGGAGCAGCAGCGCGAGCCTTGTCGAAGATATCACGGATGTTGCTCTCGGACTCACCGAACCACATGCTCAGCAGCTCAGGACCCTTGACCGAGATGAAGTTGGCAGCACATTCGTTGGCCACGGCCTTGGCAAGCATGGTTTTACCAGTACCGGGAGGGCCATAGAACAAAACACCGCGGGAAGGCGAAAGACCAAACTTCTGGAACTTCTCGGGGTGGTCGACAGGGTACTGGACGCTCTCGATGAGCTCGCGCTTGACCTCCTCCAGACCACCAATGTCCTCCCAACGGACGTTGGGCACCTCGACAACGGCAACCTCGCGCAGAGCGGAGGGGTTGGAGACACCAAGGGCGTAACGGAAGTTCTCCATGGTAACACCAAGAGAGTCAAGGACCTCAGCGTCAATGGTGTCCTCGTCGAGGTCAATCAGATCCATCTTCTCACGGATCTGCTGCATGGCGGCCTCGGAGCACAGAGAGGCAAGATCGGAACCGACGTAACCGTGGGTCTCGGCGGCAATGGTCTCCAAGTCGACATCATCACCCAGCTTCATGTTCTTGGTGTGGATCGAGAGGATCTCCAGACGGCCAGTGGGGTCGGGGATACCGATGTCGACCTCACGATCGAAACGACCGAAACGGCGGAGGGCGGGGTCGATGGAGTTGGGGCGGTTGGTGGCGGCCATGACAACAACGTTGGAGCGGGCCTTCATACCGTCCATCAGGGTCAGAAGCTGAGAGACGACACGGCGCTCGACTTCACCGTTGGTCTTCTCACGCTTGGGGGCGATGGAATCGATCTCATCAATGAAGATGATGGCAGGGGAGTTCTTCTCGGCTTCCTCGAAGGCCTTGCGCAGGTTGGACTCGGATTCACCAGCCATCTTGGACATGATCTCGGGACCGTTGATCAAGAAGAAGAAAGCGCCGGTCTCGTTGGCCACGGCACGAGCCATCAGAGTCTTACCGGTACCCGGAGGACCGTACATGAGGATACCACGAGGAGGCTTGATACCGATGGACTTGAAGAGCTGAGGGTGGCGAAGGGGCAGCTCGACCAATTCACGGATCTGTGCCATCTGCTTCCTGCAGCCACCGATGTCGTCGTAACCGACCTCGTTGAGGTTGCCCTCCTCATCCTCGCGCTGGATCGGCTCACCCTCGCAGTGGATGATGGTATCTTGAGCCACAATACCATACTCTGGGGGGTCCACCTCAACAACCTTGAATTCCACTTGTCTCATACCACCTCTTACTGTGAACAGGTCTCCCTGTCTCACGGGTCTGTAGGCTTCGCGGAAGTAGGGGGCGAGGTAAACATCGAAGAGGGAGCCAGTCAGGCCCTCAACGGTGTCGGCGATGGGAAGAACGGCAATACGCTTGGCCTGTAGGTGATAACAAGCGAGGTTAGTAAGAACTCGCCTGGATAACGCTGGAGAGTAGTCGAACTCACGTATTTGATGTCGGGGCAAGGGTGGACGGTGATGATATCGCCGTGCTTGACACGGAGGTTGTGTCTCACAACACGGTTGATGCGAGCGCTTCCATCATCAAGATCATCATCGGCCAAAACAATCAAAACGGTGTCCTTGCGCTTCTTGCCCTTGACGAGGACGGTGTCACCCCGGAACAGCTGGAGGGTGTCCATTGTGTTGTTGGAGAGGGCGATAACGGAGTTGTCATCGTTGACGGCATCAGTGACACTAGTACCCAGACAGTCAGTACCCAACCAGTATCCCCGCACCAAGGCCAGAACTAGCTTACATGAGGGAGTTAGGCTTCTTCTTCTTCTTCAAGATAGCCGTCGAGGTGTCGAGTTCCTATTTCGCGGTGGTTGTCAGTATTCGCCATCAAGGTCCCTTCCCGTTGTGCAGGCAAAAGTCTTTACCTCTTTCTTGTCGGCGCCGGAGGCGTCACTGTGCGATGAGGTTAGCTTCTTGGAACGATGGAGAAGTGGATGCCAGAGGAAGTTCCATCACATACTGGAGGTTCACCCTCTTCTTGTCGTGGGTGTGATCGGGTTCTGAGCTCATCTTGAGGGAGATTTGGATAAGGCGCGTAAAGCAACGTAGACACTTGGGTACGTATCAAGGACTGTCGCTGTACCGGATTTGGTGAAGCTCGGCAACAGGGACAAAGAGGCAAATGAAGGGGAATGAAAAAACGAAACAGAGATACAAAGCCCACCAGACCGAAAGAGATGCCGGAGGGAGGGGAGTAAATTGGAAGGATGAGATGGGATGGCAGAGGGGGAGGGAGTTGGAAGTGAGATCGGAGGATGGCAGAGAGAGAGCTCCAGTTAAGAGGTGACGATAGTGCCAGGCCCTACCGGGGCTTGATGACTTAAGCTGTTGCAGATTCACGAGCCACCAAACCCGGTTGCCGCCACCGCCTGGGGAGGAGAGAGAAGCGTATGGAAGCCGGTAGTATCCACTCTTGATCGTCCCCCAACTGAAACTACCACTAACTACTACAGCTAACTAGTATTTATCTGGGGTCGATGGTGTTGCTACTCCATCGTTGCTTTATAAGCCGCAATTCTTTGCACAAAATGAGTCACTGTCACTGTGCCCCCCTCACTCTGCTGTGACTGTCGGGGATATGCGTGTGCATTGCACCGCCCGGTAACACTATATCTGTACCTTGTGCCTGAGGCAGCCGTCCTCCCTGCATGCATGCGCAGAGTGCTTCTATGACAGCCACCAGGGCATGGCATCAGTCAGCCTGGTTTGGCCCAGGCTGGCTCCGGCGCTACATCACCATGCGCAAGGCACTGTCAGGACAATAGCCTTATGGTGGACGACGACTGCCTTGCCGGCAACCTGCTGCCTATGAACGGGACTTCCCTATTCGGCAGACAAGGGTATACATGTGCCATCGAACTGACCACAGCCGTGTGAACCTGCATCTCACCCGGTTGGCGAGAGACCACCAGAATACTGCTATTATATACGGTACTATGTGCTCACAGGGCTATGTCTTTAACGCCAGGGCAACAGCTCGGTGAGTCCTGATTACTCGACGAGTAAATGGGTATTCACAGTCACAGCAACAGCCTGTCGAACATGGCCATCAGTATATAGAATCTGTTAACGGCCTTGTATAGCTACATTCTCATCACTTATCCATTCTCATTCTTTTTGGGCCAATTCCCCTCATGAGTGATCGTTCATCACAGTGAGACATTTCCCGCAACACGAGACTCTCTCTATCAGGGTGTCATTGATACTACTACTACAGATCGTTTGCTTGCCTCAACTCACCAGCTTGACCCCCCCCTATATCTTTAAGTCATGGACAATAAGGCACATTACCCCTCAGATTTCCTGGAAGCACGAAGCAACACCTTAACAGACGACGAGGTAAACCACCTGGTCGAGAAGCCGGGATGCGCAGCCCGCTTCGTCTACGGAGTCCTCATGCTCCCCACAGTGCTTAAGTACTTCCTGGACGTGCCCCAGACAACGGACATCGCCAGACACATGATGAGCGCAACCGTGTACGGCTTCAAGCTCTACCAATTCGGCCCTGATAGCACACCCGTCATGCTGCCCTCATCGGATCCACAGCACCGAGTCGAAGGGATGCTCATACTCGGACTGAATGAAGAGCAGCGCAACAAAGTCTACGAATACGAGAGCGGGCTTATGAGACTGGTAGATGTGCAGGCATATATCTCCCAGCTTGACTCCTTCGAGGGTTATGAAATTCGCAGTGTGAGGATTGTCGATGCGGGAGCGTTCGTCTGGAACCAGGAGAAGGCGGACGAGGCAATGAATGAGCTTCCGACGACAGATCCGGGTATGTATACCTGGCCGATAGATGGACTTGTTTGTAGCCAGTTATATCGGAATATGTGTGCGGCTCAGCGCGCGTCGACGATGGATTTGGCGAGGACGTCGGCATCGGGTGTTTAGGGGTATGTCTTGCTTTGCTGGGGAGCATTGGATCAAAGGAGTAGACGTTCTAGGCTTGTTTATTGGGCGTTTGGTTAGTTGGATGGGTCTAGACTTTCTATTTGTACGACCACTATGGTTTGCTTCGGGTGTTGGCTTGGTTAATATTTGGATATGTGTTACATGGATAGATGAGATCTTCCCTAGCACAGCAAGCTAGTAGAACCATCCGCCTTCTCCATCACAATCTATATCTATAGTATGACATCCAAGTAAGTAACCATATGCTTAATCGCTCAACAAAATATGAAGAAACCCACATCTATCTGTAATCCCTCCCTACGACAACCCCGTAGCCACCCAAGTATCCCAAACGTCCCAAGCCCCCGCCATAAAACTAACCAACCCGGTCAAATGCTCCGGGAACCCAATCCCCTTCTCAAAGCACCAGTGAAGACACAAGGGTGCCCAACAAACGTTATTAACGAGACTCTTCCTCCACGCGCGAATCTCCTTCCTCAGCGCCTCCCTCTTCTCCTCCTTCCCGACACCCTCAACCCCGGCCTCCTCTTTCATCTTCCTCCTCCTAAGCACCGTCCCCCTCCAGAGCACAAAAAACTGAAAGAAAATATGCCCGAACCATGCCCTCGTACTCCAAATATACCACTTATCGATCCCACCCCAGCGATCAACAAACTTCTTCGACACGATCCCCTTCTGCGCAAGATACCCCACGTTCTCGAGCGCCTGGTAGATGACGTTGACGAAGACCTGCAGGAGAGTCAGGATGTAGAGGGGTTTGTCCGCGGGCGGGTGTTTCAGCGTCTGCGACCCCCATGTCCAGAGGGGGAAAAGACCGAGGAGGCGCAGGGTGAAGCGTGTTTCGGACATGAGGGAGGAGAGGGCGAGGAGGCGCGATGATGAGGAGGATGGGGTGGGTTTAGGGCTTGGTGATGTGGACTTGTTTCGTAGACGGGCGAGCAGGCTGAGACGCGCTTGGAAGGCGATCCATGGTGCGGAGGAGAGGATGTGGTGTAGGGTGTGTGCGAGGTAGCCTGTTACTGCGAGAACTCGTTCCTGGCCGGCGGCTGTGGATATGAGTCTGTTTGGTGGTGGGGGTGTCGGAGTTAGTGGGATGTATGTGCATGGCTCTCGGGATTGGGGTGGTAGTTGGGTTATGGAGGGTAGGAGAATGTTGCGAGGAGGAAGCAGCGCTCACCTATCGAACCGGTCGACTGTACGGTCTGTTGACTTGAGAGCTGCCAGCAGCTGGCGGCGTCGAGCGCCGGTTATTGACGATACCGGCGGTGATGTTGAGTCCCCCGCAGGACTGTTCACCGGGTTCCCCTCACTGTGTTTTTCATGGTCCGCGACATGTGCAGCAGCAGCGGGTGTAGGGGAGGGTTCAGGGTCGGCCATGGTCGTTTTCTCGGTGGTATTATGTCGACATTGCTGGATAGTATTGCGGACACCGGGGAGTTCGGGGACTTTATCATGGAGAAAGAGAGCGAGCGTGATCGTCATTCAAGCATCTGACCAGCAGCTGCGCTTGGCGCGGTGCCGAGGTTCGGAATTGGCTCGGAATGGGTCCTTGGTGGATGGACCTGCCGCGGTTGGGGATGCCGACGGTGGGTTTTACAGATTAGATGGTGATTAGATACTAGACTGCTTCTGATGCTTAATTACCAACACTTAGATAATGACAAACTGGGGGGTTTCATTTCTATGACTTTTATGATATGAGTGATTAGTACTGAGAATTTGCTGTGATCATTGACCTGTCGGCATATTCTGATCAGGCATACTAGAGATTACATGAAAAGGAAATTTTCATACCCCCACATTATGGCAAAGTAGTGTTCACGCAGGAACTAAGATTCCGTGCGCATCCCGCGAAGATCGGAGCCATTCGTAATAGCAACTTGATTGCCGTCACCACAGCAGAATACCCTTCTGGCTGTATGCCAATAATATTTCGTTGCTTTTTGGACGCTCGTATTCTTTGTCGATCGTTACTTCAGGAACGGTGTTCCCTGTCCTCCTCTGCACGGGAAGCGAGATCGAGGAGACAACCACCCGACTCATCGTCCTCGTCCTCCTCGTCGTAATCATCATCATCTTCATGATCTCCTCCAGACCAATAATCTTGCTCATATTCTTCATTCACGGTTGCCGGCACTCTAACGATCGTACGCGGGCGACCAACACTGAGATTCGGGCGGCGAGGATGTTTGTTAATACTGTGCCACGCGCCTTGGGCACTCACTGACTGCGGTGAGATAGCAGGGGTCCGTCGAGACGTTCCAGACGGACCTGCTCGCGACGACCCTGCCTGCGATGACCTTGCTTGCGAGTTCCTAGTGTCTGAGTTTGTGGAGCGTGAGGTAGAAGAACTGGCACCTGCCATGAGCCACTCGGGAATTTCAAGATGAAGAGGCGGAGGGGGCGCGGTGAGTGGTGCAGCAGACGGCTGAGTAGATGGAGCAGCGAATGATTCGATAGGCCGAGCAAGACTTGATGCGGTAGGAGGAGCGCTGGTAAAACACCCAGCAACGGACCCAGCAATTTGGGCAGTAAGTGCCGGAAGAACATTGGTGGTCGGTTTGGTAGGTTTAGACGAACCGGAACTCTTGGATGCTTTATCCACAAGCTTCTTCAACAGAGCCGATGGTGTTTTACTGTCCTCAGTGAGCGATGTGCTTGGTTCAGCTCCGGGACGTGATGGTGAGAAACGTCGGAGTCCCAAGTTCCTGACAACGTTTGCATCGGAGATACTGCGGTCACGCAAATCCCACTGGCTGGGAGCTCTGACAGTCGTGTCTCTGCATACCTCGTCAATGCTGAGCCAGGCTCTTTCTTGGAGATAAGGTGCACAGTTATGGCATGCGCGATGGCTGCAAGGAGGATAGACTGACGATTGGATCAGGGGGCGGTCTTCGGCAAACTGGTCTGAATCTGCATGAGAGACGTCTTCAACGAAATCCACGTGAGGATTTTCGTCGTCATCGTCATCCCCTATGCCATAGATGACTTCTGTTACAGGGAAAGCAACAAGGTGTTCGGTGTGTTCCGCGGCAACTGTCTGCAGGACTCTGGTTTTCTGCCACATTAGAATATTCTTCTGTATTCCTGTGTAATGACCAGCCGTGATAGCGTCGGATATCCAAGGACTGAGAACCGGGGTTTGGCCTGGACCCATGCGGTGAGAGAAGCCGGTGATGTCTACACCACAGCGATAGAACCAGCCGAACGCCGGAACCAGACCGCAGGACTCGCATGTCTCGTGCTTGTCAAGTGCATACTCACGGACAACGACATCGTGTTTGCAATAGGGGTCACCGCAAGTTCTAGGTTCGTCATCATTCCACCCCGAAAACGGAGGGAAGAGACGGGGTCTGCCGTCCTCTCGACGAGCCACAAGGTTGAAAAACGGATCAACAACCGGTTCGAAAGTAGGATGCTTATCCCATCTCACGGAGGAAGGCACGCTATTGGGGGGTGGAAGGAAGACTAGCTGAGAGGGTGGTGAGTCTGACCTTTCGGATGGGCTTCCACGTCCCTCGTCCACAGGAGTATCAGAAGACATGGTCCTTAAGTAGATCAGATGTCCAGGTCTATCACAACGATGGAAATGAAGACCCCAAGGATGAATTCCGATGATGGAGAGGCTTCCTGTGAGGAAAGGAAACACGGTTGAGTGTTTGTTGAGACATTGTGATAGACGTGGACGTGTCAGTCCTCTTCACCACTGACCGGGTCCATGGTCTCGGCATTCAAACGCTTCAAACGAGCATTCATAATGAAGTGCTTGCCAGCGCTGTAACAGGAGCATCGTGAACGCCAGATTGGCATGCACATAGCCTATAGATTGGGAGTGCAGTAATGGCAAGGCCTAGGGCCGTGATGAAGCATTCATTTCTACAAGGGCAGCATTATATGAGCAACATTCTTCTACCTGTGCAGTTGTTAGTGGATAGGAAATGTGCATAGCAGATATAGAATCAGAAAAATACCCAGGATGAGTGATACTCTGGATACAAGCTCCGTTATTTTCTGTTCCAGGCTGCACTCGGCGTGCACCTTTTGGGCTGGTCCCTTTCCTCTTTAGGAAATAGGTCATCTTGAAATACCGGTTTTGTGAGATAAGCCTGGAAAAGGATCATAATGAGCCTAGTACCATATATATAATATCCCAATACAGATGATGCCTGCAAAGTGCAGAAATTAATGACAGATATTGCTAGGCATCGGGAGGTGGACATGGGACAATTAAGATTAATGCTTGCCCGCATGTCGGAGGTGACCGAAAGGCGGGCAGCCCGAGGCACGGGTATTAAAGCGGCGAGGTTCGCCATTTGCCGATGGAATGACCGACAGTGAAATTATTATTGTTTTTATTATTGACTGCACTCCCTGTTCCTCCACATTCCCAACAGCTCAGTAGCCAGTCACTGCTTCTATCTACTCACTAACTAGTCTTAATTGACTTGACTGGCTGTGTTCGGTGAAGTTGGAACTACTTACTCCTAGACTACTAGTACTACTGTCAGCTTAGGGCAGCTGTTGGTCCCTCCCATTGAATTGATCCGTGGATTGACTTGACTGGGTCTCACGGTTTCTTATCCGCGTTGACCTTCCCCATACTGTTTTGCTGCATCTCATTCAACTCGCCCAGGAACTCTTCCGACCTCGGTAAGCTTTGGCTCATCTTCCCGAACAAACCAGCCTCCTCCTTTGCTTCCTTTCCCTTGACTCGTTCCCGTTCGTTCCTTAGCCTCGTTAAGTTCAGTTAGCTGTTTTGGCTGGCGGGTGCTGTTGCTGCCCATCAACAAATCATCCACCAGCCAACAATCATCCTCCCTCTCTTTCCCCCCCCTGGTCCTCCTTTTCCCTGCCGTTCTATGCGGGACAGCGCATCTTCCGTCGCCAACCCCATGTTTTCCACCTAATCTCAAATCTCACCTCTGTTCTGTCTGTTGTCTGTCTGTCCTACCTTCTTCCCCCAACCCACTCCAATCCTTTCCCTTTCGTTCTCCATCTCCACCAAATCTCCATTGTGGTTCCCACCCCACTCCTTGTCTGGCTTGGCTGACCGTGTCCCGTAATATCCGTAGCTGCCGTCCTTCCTGACTTTATCGTCTTCTGGCTCCCGTCCTTCTAATTGACCATATCGCGCGCGCTTAATCTTTCTTCTCTTTCCTCACTTTCAGCCTCACCCACACCATCAAACACACCCACCATATCAGCAAAAATGTCTGCCAAGTTCCAGGATGAGGCCGTCACCTCGATACGGGAGGACACAAAGGAATTGGTGCACAAGGTTGGAAACCGGTTGACTGGCGATGGCTATCTCGCTGTAGGTTTTGCGCCTGTGTAATCACACCCCGAATGCGTGTTTTGCAGTCCACTGATTGAGACAATGCGCGTCCGTTATAGCTCTACCTCCGCCAACTGCAGTCCAACCCCCTGCGCACTAAGATGTTGACCTCCGGTGTCCTGTCCAGTCTGCAAGAAATCCTGGCCTCGTGGATCGCCCATGATGTCAGCAAGCACGGTCACTACTTCAGCGCCCGCGTCCCCAAAATGGCCCTCTACGGAATGTTCATCAGCGCCCCGCTGGGCCACTTTCTCATCGGAATTCTGCAGCGGGTCTTCGCTGGCCGGACTAGCATCAAGGCCAAGATCCTGCAAATTCTCGCCAGCAACTTGTTGGTATGTTCGATCTGACACTCCCCTTCTGACGTGCGGCTGGAATGCTGACGCGACGCAGGTCTCCCCCATCCAAAACGCCGTGTACCTGTGCTGCATGGCCGTTATCGCGGGCGCGCGCACCTTCCACCAGGTCCGCGCTACCGTGCGGGCCGGTTTCATGCCCGTCATGAAGGTCAGCTGGGTCACCTCGCCCATTGCGCTGGCCTTTGCCCAGAAGTTCCTCCCCGAGCACACCTGGGTGCCTTTCTTCAACATTGTCGGGTTCGTCATTGGAACCTACGTCAACACGCACACCAAGAAGAAGCGTCTTGAGGCTCTCCGCAAGGTAAATCAACTACGTGACGATCCCGCCGACGCGACCAGTCGCTAACCTAGCACGACAGCGCTACGACCAACGCCGTGGACCCGGTAGCGAGTACGACAAGGGCGACTACCGGTAAACGATGTAAATATACTGTACCTAGCTTATGACTACCGACTGGTTAGTGTGGACTTCCCGATATGGTCGGTTAGAGCAGTTTGTTCGATCGGGTATGTCCTCCCGAAACCGAGGAACTGCCGGATCGAACGGCTGCCTCAGCCCAGCCACCTTATCGGAATGTCCACACCTCTCCTGTCATCCATTTCATTACCCCCATGACATCCTAATCTGACCCGGGTATACCTCTGATAATAGAGCTCTGGCGTCGAGATGAAGATATGTTTGCCCTGCCCCTGTTATGATGAATATGTTTTCGATTTCTATTCTCTTCTCCTTGGCGACACCACCATGCTGCATACCTCTTCTGTCTATCACTGTCGCCATAGTTTTCATACCTATAACAAAATACCAAGATTTAAAGATTCCCTACACCATCCCTTACCACCACTACACCAGTAATAGTAATATTATAACCCCATCCATTCATCTACCTGACCACATGTAGACAACGTATTGATTCAAATATCGAGAATAATAAAGAAAACATCCGCTACTCAACCTCCATATCTTCCCCCGCTTCCTTCCCCCTCTTCTTCTGCACCCACTCCACAAAATCATCCAACGCCCCGGGCCATGCCCCATCCGCACTCCACCACCCAAAGTTCTCATCCTCCAGCGTCTTCCGCATAAACACCTCCACCTGCTCCCACAGATCCTTATTCACGGGCCTCTTCCCCCTCTCCTCCAGGAACTCAATCCACCAATCCAACCACGGAGTCTTGCTCGTGTTCCACTGCACCCCGCCATTCTGCGGCGTGAAGAACAGGCGCCATTGCTCCGCCGCGATCTCGAACTGCAGATTCCGCTGGCCTTGCATGCGGCATAGGGGGAAGGTGAAGCGGTAGACGCGACGGAAGAGGTCCGGTTGGATGGGGATGCGCGCGCGCATGTCGGCGGCGTGGGCGATCATTTTGTCGAGGGAGTCGGATCTATATCCATATATTAGCTTGTATTGTATGTAGGTGGGGGTGGGATGGCGAGAGGAAGTAGGGTATTTACCCAGTTATTCTCCAGCCGTTGATAAAGCCTTCGCGGGTGAATTCGCCCATTGAGGGGGATTTGAGTAGCTCGGCAATCCCTAGGCATGCCACTTCGTCGAGGCCGACTTTGATGTCCCCGAGGTATTTCATGGCTCCTTCGATGCCGATCCCGTCGGGGTTGTCTTCTGGGGCATCTGGTGGACGTTAGTTTTAAGATTTCATGGTGGTGGGAGGGTGCGCGAACCTCTATAACTGTCGAAGATCTTGCTCAATGAGGATGTGCTACCGCCGGCACCGGAGGAGCTTTGGAAGTATCTGGAGGTGAGGTTGATATTAGCGACTGTTAGAGATCAGTTGGTTGAATCTCATGGTTGGTGAGTGTATGAAGCAGAGGATATAAGAATGCCAAGTGTGGATGATTTCTAATGCATGCTTGGATTTCAATACGCAGGCTGGGCTGGTCTCAATTGTAGCAGGATGTCCCGTTCTTCTTCGGTCTTGAGGTAGGCATTCCGCGAAGAGAGAGGTACTTGTATGATTAAAATAATTGGGAAATAGACCTCAGTGCAGCCTTCTTTAATGCACGAATTCCAGGTAAAGTGCGAGAAAATCTGAATGGAAGACGTCGATTTCGACATTTGATATCAGACATACTGCACGCTTGTTGACGTCTCTTGTCTGAAGCTGCCGCAGGTAAAACATTCTGAGGTGAGTGAAACTTGATTGACAGTCGATTTACTGCACATCGCATGCGACAGCGTGACATCTGACAGCGTCAGATTTACGACTTCGGCCGTCTCCGCCTGACGGCATGCGTTCATGTGTGGACAATGAGGTGTTTTTAGGATGGCTTTGCACCAACACCTAGCAGTACCTTGATTCAGTCCCGCTGGACGAGGGATACAGACAGATGAAACGTCGCCAGGCCTAACGTATTGAAATGACCAAGCGAGGTATAAGATGATCGGTCCCTTGAACCGCGACCGCAAGAGTGGAAACGCAATAGCATAGCAAGATGTAAAGAGAGAGAATAGAACACAAAAAAATTCTATACTCACGCATCAAGAGCTTGCTCCACATTCCAGCGAGCTGCTTTCAAGAACTATATGCATGCGAGAAGTCAGTCATGGAGGAACACGTGATGAGCGCAGATAAGACTGGTTGGACGATATGGCATCTGCGGAAGGAGAAGCAAAAGAAGCAATGAGACAATATGTACCTTTGCGGCTACTGCATCCTTTGCTTGGGTGAGGTTCACGAATTGCATTATACATTGCTTTTGAGCTGTTGAGTAAGGCGGCATGGTGGGGTGAGGCAGGCAGTGGCCTGCGGGGAAGATCCTGACTGATGGAGGGGGTGTAGGGGTTCGTCAGGATGGCAACGAGAAAGTGAAGATTGCAAAAGGTTGATAGCCGTGAACACACTAGCTACAAGGTGAGGAGTTTACAGATGTGATGTTAATCCGGCTGCTGGAATGACTGGATGGGGAAACTTCGCATCTCCGAATCGAGCTCGCTGAGCGAGAGGTGCCCGTGCACGTGCCCCGCATCTAACATCCTGCCAGCTTCAGGTCGCATCTCTCACCACCACCACTTACTCCTGCCATTCGAAGGGATTGGCTTGCTACTCGATATTCTAAGGGACCTAGAAATGTCTGCCACGCTATAGACTACTTTAATGAAGCTACGAGTGTCTAGCAGAGCCAAGGTCACATGAAACACTTGAGATAATAGATGGATAAGGTGAATTGAGAAACACTTTTCTAAATGTACAGACAGACGACTCCAGAACTCCTGCGAGAATGCCCAGGTATCTAGTATATATCTCCCATGTTCGATCCCGCGTATGCAAGGCTTTGGCTTAGGTCGTAAACAGAGTATCTTCCTAGGGGTATGTCAGCAAATTGATACCGTGGATGTGACATTTGGTCAACCTACCTCTCTCAGGTACTCTCCAATATCTGCCTGACGGAACACCACGTTGGCTGTGGGCTCCAGTCTCCGGGTTTCAGCACTCGACCGGGCAGTCACACCGAATCCCTAACGTATATCAGCCTCTGATTATCTCAATCCAGCCGAAGTCTTCTTACCAATGGCGTATCATTCATATCCATAACGATTACACCGGCATTCTCCGGGCAGTCCTCGCTGAATCTTCCGACGTGGGCCTTGGCCACGTTGGAGCCATAGAGGAACGGCATCACACCGTTCTGCTTGATCCACACCTTGTAGCGCGCATGAGGAGCGAGGACATCCAAAGCCGTAAGCTGGATTCTGAACTTTCCGGTCTTGGTGAACTTTCCGATGCAGGTTCCGAGGGTGAGGAGGTTGGCGCGAGGAATGCTGGTTGCGAGGTTCGCCAGAGAAAGTCTCAGGTAGTATACTCTGCTGCCGTGAAGACGGAAAACATAGCGGTCGTTGGCATCTTCGGAGCCAGAAGGAGGTGCGATCAGGTTGTTAAGACTCCTTCCAGTGTAGTTGGCCAACTTTTCGAACAAAGTCCGGGTTTCCTCTAAACAGAAGCGAAATAAGAATCCATGCGCGAGAATCACAACAGACGGAGATGGTTGTACCTACCTTCGGTGAGTTGACGCATCTTGCAAAATGCTTGCAGTTCACTGCAGCAAATGCGATAAACTGAATAGGTTATCAACAAGCAGGAAAGCGCAGGAAGATCTCCAGACGCGATTGCGATGCAGCCTTTGTAAGTCGAAGCTCCGCGGGAACAAAAATTCTAGACAAGGTGGAGCGGCCGCCTTTAGCGTCCAGGTCTTGGCACCGCAGAAAAAAAGTTTCGGACGGTCAACCCGCGCAAACAACTTGCCGCTATCACACCCCAGAAAATACCCCAGGCACCTCAAGATGGCTCCTGCACGTACGACTAAAAGGAGACGGGTGAGCCCTCCTGAAGATGAAGAACGTGGCTCCAAATCCTCTGGTGGTGCGTCTGCCAGCGACTTCTACAACAATGCCGCCGAGTGGGACCTTGAACAAGACTATGAGCAGCGGCCGCGCAAATTGGGCAAGAAGGACAAGGAACAGACGAGATTGCCTATAAAGACCGCGGAAGGTATACAGACTGTGGCAGAACCGGAACCTGAGCCGGAGGCTGAAGAATCCGACAGCTTTTTGGGTACCGACGACGACGAGGATATGGAGGATGCGGATTCCGATGAAGATGAGGAAGAGATTGAAGAAGAAAAGCCAAAGATTCCTTTGAAGCTGCAAATTATCCAGACCAAGGAGGAACTTGCACGGCTTGCTATGTTAATCAACGAAGATCCGGAAGAGAACATGCCGCTGTTCAAGACAATGGCCGACATCGTGGAGAGGGGAGAGCATGTTGCGATCCAGAAACTGGCTCTTGCCGCCCAGGCCGCAGTTTACAAGGACGTTATTCCTGGCTATCGAATCCGACCCCTCGGCGACGAAGACATGTCCGCGAAAATTTCCAAGGAAGTGCGCAAGCTACGGACATTCGAACAATCCCTTCTTTCGAACTACAAGCATTACATTCAGAAGCTGGTGGAGCTCACGAAACCAGCCAAGAAGGATGCCCCCCAGGTGGACCCCGGCTTGAAAAGCATTGCGATTAACTGCGCCTGCAACCTGCTCCTTTCCGTGGCTCATTTCAACTTCCGTAGCGAGCTCCTGAAGATCCTCGTCAACCGCCTCGCCCGGAAACAAGTCGATGCCGATTTCGTCAAATGCCGCGAGACGATGGAAGAGGTTTTTATAAGGGATGAGGATGGAGTTGTGTCACTCGAGGCTGTCCGCCTGCTGTCGAAGATGATGAAGGCGAAGGAATTCCGCATCAATGAGACCGTCCTGGATACCTTCCTCCACCTCCGTCTGCTGTCCGAATTCTCCCGCAAGGCGTCAAGAGACAGGATCGATCGCGAAGAAGAAGAGGAGACCCCGCAATTCGGTAAGAAGCCCAAGCAGAAGCGTGAGTTCCGCACCAAGCGGGAACGCAAGGTCCAGAAGGAGCGCAAGGCAGTCGAGAAGGATATGAAGGAGGCCGACGCCTTGGTGTCCCACGAGGAGAGAGACAAGAATCAAGCAGAGACATTGAAGCTCGTCTTCGGTGTCTACTTCCGAATCCTCAAGCTCCGCATTCCGAAGCTCATGGGCCCCGTTCTCGAGGGTCTTGCCAAGTACGCCCACCTGATCAACCAGGACTTCTTCGGTGACTTGCTGGAAGCACTGAAGGACCTGATCGGCCATGCCGATCGAGCCGAGGAAGAAGAGGACGAGACAGAAGAAACCGATGATGCGGAGCCAGCTACGACACGCGACGCCCAGCGCGAAGCCCTCCTTTGTACCGTCACTGCCTTCGCACTTCTGGAAGGACAAGACGCCAGCAAGGCCGCCAGCACACTCCACCTCGACCTGAGTTTCTTCGTAAAACATCTCTACCGCTCTCTCTACAACCTCTCCATCAATCCCGACGTCGAATACAACCCCGACAAATCCCTCCGCCTCCCCGACCCCAACTCCCCCGAAGCGAACCCGGCCTGGCGATCCAGGAAGAAGGTCAACTTCCAGACGCCCATGGTTCTGCTCCTTCGTTGCTTGCAGTCTACACTTATATCCCGCGCACATGGAATGCCCCCTCCTGTCCGACTAGGCAGTTTCTCCAAGCGACTGATGACGACTTCGCTTCAACTGCCCGAGAAGTCCGCCCTCGCGACACTGTCGCTCATGAACCAGGTGGCCAAGCACAACGCACGTCGCATCTCCTCGCTGTGGCACAGTGATGAGCGCAAGGGAGACGGTGTGTTCAATGCGTACGCTACCGACATTGAGGCGACCAATGTCTTCGCGGGCACGATCTGGGAGGGAGAGTTGTTGCGCCAGCATTACTGTCCTCAAGTTCGGGATGCCGCTCTGGATGTAGAGAAAATGATTGCGACGCGGAAATAGAGTCATTGTTTAATTAGCGGGTCAATTTTATCTTTCTTACACCTTTTTCTTACTACTACTTCACTTGCCGTTTCGAACTTTTTTTCATTATCATTATCATATTATCTTTATCTGTTCATCATTCCCATAGAACATCCGATACCCGGTAAAATGAAACAAATGAACAAATGAGAAACCCCGCCAACTCCTATTTTTTAAACGTTTCCATGCGTTTTCCCATCCTGAATTCATATGTAATTCCTCAGAACACCAGTGACTCCTCATCCTATCGTAAACTCATAATACCCGCTCAATCAACTGCAAGCAACAAACCAACGAAAAAGCAACATAACATCGCTCGTCATGATACCATAAGTCATAAATCCATGACATCGTCCACCTCATAATTGAAAAAAGAAAACACAAGCAAAAATTGAAACTGACAGACAGTCAGCCATTCCACTATCATCATACCTTCATCGAATCTTCATCACTCCTCCACCCTCTCCAACGTTCCACTTCGATGTCTTCCAGACCCCTCCCTCTTCCGTCCAAGCCCAGCATTATTAGGAGGAACCAAAGTAAGCGGAGCCGGACGATGAGGTCTCACAACACCAGCAGCAGCAGCAGCAGCAGCAGCAGCAGCAGCACCGCCCTGCGAAGAAGAGGACCCGGTAGGAGTATGATTACCCAAGCTAGAAGCAGGCACGGGATGTCTGAAGATCGGATACGGGTTATCAAAGCCTGCTGGGGTAGAGGCCGAGTTCGAGCTGCGGGATGGCAAAATTGGCAACCGGTTCTTGTAGACGTCTGGGAGAGGCCAGCCGTGGAGAGTAGGAGGTGATGAGGAGACACCGTTATCGTATGAGGGAGTGGTAAGAGTATTTGAAGCGCTGATTGAAGTGTGAGATTTAGACAGCTTGAGCACACCGGGACGTCGAGCAGGAGTTGGATTTGGAGTCGTCAGCATGGCCAGTTGCTGCTTTTCGAGACGGATGCGTTCGAGATCTCGCTCGATGAGGTTTCTGCGCTGCTCGGGGGTGCGGTGGAGTGGGTGGATGGTGCTGGGGTCGACAGATGATTCCTGGTTGGAAGTGGGTGTAGTAAGCTTGGTGTTGTCGACAACCTGAGGTTTGTTCTTGTTCTCCTGTGCCTTGTTGTTGTCACCAGCTTGGTGCTTGTTCTCCTGCGTGCGGCTGGCGTTATTGTCACTGTCACGGTGACGACGCAGGTTAAAGAAGCTGCGTTTGGATGCAGGTTTCTCCATCTTGGGCTGTGCAGCAGGAGTGAGAAGAGCTTCGGCTTGTTCGATTGCAGGCACAAGCAAGTCTGGGAGATCAAGAAAGGTGGATGCCTTTGGAGTCGGGGATCCTGAAGAGTCTGCATAATCATCTTTCCAGGCAACACGCTTTTCAGTGACTTGGTGCTGATGGTCTCTGGCGCTCAGGTAAGCGGAGGACGTGCTATTCACAAGACTGGCACTGCGTAACACGGTCGACGGGGCTGCTTGTTTTCTTTCTTCTTTTTTCTCTTGCTCAGATTTCTTCTTCATTTTCTTCTCATCATCCTTTGCATCTTCTTTTTTCTGCAGCATCTTGTCCATCCCATCTTTCTGCTCGCTCAAGTCTCGGTTCACCAACACAGGAAACGACGGGCCCTGCAGCCCAGCACTGGGGGTCAAGATGCCCTCAGATGCTGGGTTGCCAGGGCCAAGCTTACCCTCCTCTTGGAGGTCGTATCTGAGCTTGCCAAACTCCTCGTGGATCGCAGTAATGATCTTTGACTTGATGACGCGCACTTCGCGACGCAACGTGTCGATATGGGCCCTGACATCCGCGACGGCCGTCTGCGCCTCCCTGAGTAGCTCAGTCTGAGCAGCCGCTTTCTTGTTGATGGCCTGAGCTAGGTCAACCATCGTATCCACATGGCGAAGAACTTGGTCCATGTGCCAGTTGTTTTTGTCCTCGAACGTCTTGACGAGTTTACTGGCCGCATGTTGCACGTGGAAATGGAGCTGCTCTACGTGCGAAGCAAGTTGCTCCTCCAGCGCCGCCGTGTTTTGATACTCCGGGTCTGGCGGCATAGGGGCGAAGCCACCCCGACCAGTGGAACCCATGAGCTGCGCTTTATCGACGGGGACATAGTCGCTAGGCGATTCATCAGGACCAGCGTGGAATGTCGACGCAGGAGACGCCAATGACGACAGACGGGTGTCGGAACCTTTCTTGACGGACGAGTCACTGTCCCGGGTTGGCGTGAGCGAAATGACATCCTCAACGCTGGTCACCCCGTAATCGCGACGTGGCAGATCCGACATTCTATCAGACAAGGCCGTCTCGTACACCGATGGAGAGTACATGCGTGCAGCTTCGCTCTCGCGGACCGTGGAAGCCGCACTTTTGGGAGACGCCGGCTCAGCTGCGTAACTGCAAGCGCGCTGAGGTGTATTGACGACCTCGGGCAGTCTGCTGTTTCTGTATTCTCCTGTTCGGGCAGCTGGCGACGATCCGCTCAGGAGAACGGCATCGAGCAGGTTAGAAGCAGGTCCCTCTTCGGCGTCGTTGCTGTGGATGAGGGTATGTCTGAACTTAGTACCCAGTTCAGACATACGCTCACCACCGACACCACCCGCAATACCATCTTTCATGGGTGTTCTCACAGAAGAATCTGACACCTTTCTGAAATCCTTGAGACAATCATCCAACCGAATCACACTTGACTCTCGCGACAGCGACTCCGAACCCACCTCCATCACCCTAGGTCTGGGAGTATACAGCCTCTCGACTTCGAAATTGTTCCCCTTTCCAGCAAAAGGATCTGAAGATGAAGAATCCCGGAGTATAGTGATTTTCGGCATCGTACTTGCCGGTGGGACGTCCTTGCGAAACTCCTTCTTCAGATCCTTCAAACTGAGCTTGGCCTTTAGAGCCTTGAAGGTTGATTTCTTGTCCGACTTTTTCTCACCAGCTGATGCCGCCGCCGCTGCCAAACGGCCCGGTTCAGTGAACGAGCGTTTCTTAGCAATGCTTCTGCTCCAGAGACTTCCACTTCCGCTTCCACTGGCAGGGATGCTAGGGGAAGAGGAGAGAGAGTCGTTTACGATCGAGTTGGCTCGAGCAGTGCGAGGATTTGGCATTGGCAGAGCAAGGTCGGAGTCGAAGTCTAATTTGCCGAGATCTGGCGAGATCGTTTTAACTGTTTCTTTCTGTTAGCTTTCTTTCTTTCTTTTCCTTTGATTTGTGACAGAGAAGGAGAGGATTTACCGATTTTCAAGGACGAGAGACTCCCCTGCTCAGTATCACCGCTCAGTCTCATCTGTTCTCTCTCCCTGGCACGTCGAAGAGCCCAAGCGTTTCCGTCCTTGAAGGACATGATGAAGAAGCACTGTGTGCTGAACATTCATGGGCATGTTAGCTGTGTATGTTCCTTTCTTTATCGCTTTTCTCCTTTTAAGATTCAGAAATCCCCAGGGTCGAACAAGTAACTCACCAGCTTTATCACGTCTATTCTGTGGATGGAACCGGACTCTGTATCTAGCACCGTGAGCACTCTGATCCTCTATCCTAGGATACTTAATGAATCTCAAGAAGAGGATAAAGTAATACTATACCTTTGCCAATATCGAATTAAAGATTAGAACCCTTCCCTTCGTTGGCCTTCTCGTTCGCTCGTTCACGCAACCGCTGGTAGAGCTGAGCTGAACGAAAAAGGATCAGAAGGAACGTAGCACGGTAAATCACAGCAGGACGCATTGACGAGTAAGCAGAGTGAACAAGGATCTTGATGATGCGTATCGACGACTAAGCGTAGTGAACAAGTAAGTTCTATCTGTATCTGGATGATGATGAATCGTATCGTGAGAATGAACTGGAACGAGACGCGACAGAACGTAACACGAGATGGATTTCCAGGATGAGAAGAAGAAACAGACGTGAGTAGGTAAACATCTCGACGTTTGAGATGTGTTTTGTATGTATGCATGTTTGCATGTTCTTTGAGGGTCAGTGTTACGATTTCTACTACTGTGGTTTTGCTGGACGGGTTTGGAGATACTTGTGGTTGTTAGGGCCAGTGAATGAGCACTGGGTCTAGGTGTTGTCTGGTAGATATCGCTGGTGGGTTTGAGGCAGGGTGGCTGGGAGGCAGAGAGAGGGTGGTGGATTAGTGTGAATGGATTATATGCTACTTGCTCTAGATGGTCTGGAGGTCTGTGGGTGGATGTGAGGTGTGAGGTGTGAGGTATGAGGGTTGCAATGTGCAATGTGCAATGTGCAATGTGCTGGGAGATCGGGTTCTAAGGTAAATTGATATCTGTATCTATAAGGTAGCTCTGTTTTAGGTTGGGTCTGTAGCTGATTGTTGCGATGTTATTGTAGTATTGGGTGTATAGTATCTAGATGATGTAGATCTAAGGTTCGGTGTGAAGAGGAGACTACAATGCAAGCTTGACTCGCTTGATTGTTCTGGTGTTTCAGTGATTTCTCTCGCTTTGCAGATGTGTAAATGGAAACTTAGATGCGGAACGGGCTTCCTTCTCCAGGAAATACCGGTTTCAACGCAGACCCGGGTATTGGGAGAATATTACAAGGGGAATGCTCGAAAATCATATTAGATCCTTCGAGTACAGACAGGGAGAGCTACAACAAGCCTAAAGAGTTTGTAGGTTAAGGTCTAAGAACCTAAATGAAGACCAGATCCTTCTAAATGAATATCAAGAGTCTCACGAACAATATCTAAAATCATATCATTATATCATATCATCATGCACATCATTACATACTGGCAGAAAACTGCAACAGAACTACTACCAATCTGACAAAAGGAACGAACGATTGAAGATGCGGAATCAAATATTCAGACAATTTGAGAGGAGAGCGAAAAACAGCTCGACAGCAGAATACCAAATACAGGGGAATCGATGGACAATTGGTGGGCGCGCAAACTCGGCAACTTCGAACAATCATCGGGTATATGCATGCCAAACAAATGCTAGCAATGGGGCAGCAAAAACGCTCATCAAGAACAGATTCCTGAACCATATTAGCTTTGGCAACCACAATCATGAACAATAAACGTCTCGGTCTTCAACACCCGACACGACTCTACTGGTTGTTCCTTCCACGACGACGGAACGGCGAGAAGATAGCCCCAAAGAAATTGGTGAACACAGCCCGGAGGATGGTCTTAAACCAGCTGTCATGTTTACGGTTCAGAGAAACAGCTGTGACTGACCGGTTTTGACTTTGGGCACGATCTTCCTCGTCGCCCTTGGTGGCAACTGCCTTGTCGGCAGCATTCTCGGACGGCGCGGCGGGCTCGGCGGTGGCGGGCTGGGGCTCGGTAGCCTTCTTGGTCTGCTCCTCGGCATCGTCTTCAACATGCGGCTGTTGGTTAGATGCAGATGCCTGTTCCGTAGAAGGCGCCTCGGTAACCGCTGTGACAGGGTCAGCTTCATATTCGGTAACTCCCAGCTGATTCGCTGCAGGACATGGGGAACCCTTACGCTCGGTAGGCTTGTGGTCGGCGACGACTGCCTTGTCTGTGTTCTCAGGCTGGACGGGATCTTGCTTGGACTCGACGTGCTCGGGAACAACTTCGGATTCCTTGTGAGTGGCCGCATACACTCCGGCGGTAATGGCAGCACCGGCAGCAACCGTAGCAACACCTGCGCCCAGAACTTCAGGGCTGAAGATGCTGTCCTTTGCAGACTCCTCAGGAGCGGTCTCCTTGGCCGTCTCAGGAATAGGCTCTTCATGTGTTGACACAGTGTTGGCCTCAACAGGAGCCTCGACCTCGGTAGGCACAGGCACTTCCTTGGCTTGAGGCTCAGCTGGGGCTGGCTCACTGACAGTTTCAACCTGGACAGGTTCCTCCTTCTCGACACTAACAGCCTCAGCAACTTCGGCCTTAGGGGATTCCTCGGTAGCAGCTGGCTCGACGACAGTCTCAACTGCAGCCGGCTCATCCTTAGGCGCGTGCACCGGCTCGGTAACCTGCTCCTCGACCTGTGCAACAGCTTCCTCCGCAGCCTTCTGCTCCTGTGGCTCTACAGCCTTGACCGTTTCTTCGTGGGTCTCAGGGGCAGGCTCTGCGGGAGCAACCTCCTTCTCCTTCTCAACTGGAGCCTCAGTAGCTTCAGCGGTTGCAGCCTCAGGCTCCTGAACAGCTGGCTCAGCAACCTTGTCGACAACCTCCGCCGCCGCGACTGCAGCAACTGCAGCAACAGTAGCCTCAGCAACAGCCTCCTTCTCAGAGTGCTCGGGCACCGACTCGGCTGCCGCATGTTCTTGGGCAACTTCCGCTACCGGCTCTTCAACAGTCTCCTTTTCAGCCTCTTGAGCCGCAGGCGCCTCGACAGCAGGCTCCTCAACGGCAGCCTCCTCGGCCGGCTCCTGAATCACAGGCTCCTCGACAACCTCCTTGGCGGCGGGCTCTTCGACAACAGCCTCCTTGACAGGTTCTTCGACAGCTGGCTCTTCGGCAGCTGGCTCCTCAGCGACGACCTCCTTCACAACAGGCTCCTCGACAACCTCCTTGGCGGCGGGCTCTTCGACAACAGCCTCCTTAACAGATTCCTCGACGACGGGCTCTTCGGTGACTGGTTCCGTGGCAGCAGGCTCCTCAGCGACGACCTCCTTGGCGGCGGGCTCTTCGACAACAGGCTCTTCGACAGCAGGCTCTTCGACAGCAGGCTCTTCGACAGCAGGCTCTTCGACAGCAGGCTCTTCGACAGCAGGCTCTTCGACAGCAGGCTCTTCGACAGCAGGCTCTTCGACAGCAGGCTCTTCGACAGCAGGCTCTTCGACAGCAGGCTCCTCAACGACTACCTCCTTAACAGGTTCCTCTACAGCAGGTTCTTCGACAACAGCCTCCTCAACAGCTTCCTCAATAGGCTCTTCGGTGACTGGCTCAGTTTCCTTGGTCGACTGGTTGTCAAAGACGATCTCGTCTCCGGCAGTTGTAGCGACAGTAGACTCGGCCAAGTTGGAGGATTCGTCCGTCGACTCGTCTGCGACAGGGTCCTCACTGGGCTCCTCGGTCGGCTGAGATTCCTGAACAGCAGGCTCCTCCGCGGTTGGCTCCTTGGTAGTTTCCTTGGGGACGGATTCTTCAGGCTTGGTCTCTGCGACGACTTCCTCCACTGATTCTTCAGCAGCCGGGGCTTCAGCAGCATGCTCAGGTTCTTCAGCAACCGCCTCCTTGGCCTCAGCGGCAACCTCAACAGTCTCCTGCGACTCGGGAGCTGCGGGAGCAGCTTCTTCATGAGCAGGCTCCTCATGTGCAGCCGTCACTTCAGGCACGTCTTCCTTGGCGGGTTCTTCTTCCTGAACTGTCTTCTCTGCCACTGGTTCCTCGACGACCGGCTCTTCAACAGCCGGCTGCTCGGAAACTTCCTCGGGCTGAATCTCTTGAGCAGACTGTTCGACGACAGGCTCCGGCGCGGATTCCTCGGTCTCTGTAGCGGTTACCTCAGGGGCTGACTCCTCAACGACTGGCTTCTCAGCAGCCGGCTCCTCAGCCTCTGTAGTGGCGGCTTCAGCAGCAGGCTCCTGAGCAGGCTCTTCAGCAACATCCTTGGCTGCAGTCTCCGCGGCCGGTTCCTCAACTGCAGACTGAGGGGCGGTCTCTTCAACGGTCTCCGAAACGATGGCCTCAGCAGCGGGCTCTTCCGCAACCGCCTTAGCCACTGCTTCCTCCGCAGCAAGTTCCTTGGGAGACTCCTCAGCTGTCTCTGGAACAGAGGCCTCGACAACCGGTTCTTCGGCGGCAGGCTGCTCAGCCACCGGCTCCTCGACAGCCGAGTCAACCTTGGCAGCTTCCTCAGCCACTTCGCTGGTCGAAGTCTCGACAGGTGCCTCTTCCGCAACAGTTTCAGTCACTACCTCCTTGGCAGGAACGTCTTGAGCAGGAGTTTCTGTGGTCTCCTCGGCCGGGGCATCAGCAGTAGCCTGTTCGGTAACAGGCTCGTTAGAAGACTCCTGTTGGACAGGTTCCTCCTTGGCAACTTCCTCGGTGGTTTCCGCGATCTGTTCGATGGGTTCCTCTGTCGGCTTCTCCGTGACCGGTGGCTCGGCATTTTCGGTGGTTGCTTCCGTGGGGTGCTCCTCTGCGGGCTCAGCAGACTTTTCCTCCGTCTCGGTCGAAGTTTCGACTGCACCTTCAGCAACCTCCTGTTCAGCTGGCTCCTCTGTCTTGGGCTCCTCCACCTTCTCCACAGTAGACTCAGCGTGCGCTTCTTCCGCAGATGGCTCAGTGGGCTTATCAGCAACTGGGGTCTCGGTAGCCACCTCCGCGGTCTGTTCAGAAACAGTGTTCTCGGGGACAGATTCTTCGACAGCGGCTTCGGAAGCTTGAGGGACAGCGGATTCCTCTGCTGGTTGTTCCACAGCGTCCTTGTCGGTAACGGATTCCGTGGTCTGCTCCTCGACAGGTGCAGATTCGACACGGGCCTCTTCGGTGGTGGGCTTGTCCGCGGTTTCTGTGCTGGGCTCGGCAGTCGAGGGTTCCGGAGTGGACTCCTCCTTGGTCACTTCCTTCGAGGGTTCTTCAACGGCGGCCTCCACGGCAGGAGTCTCCTCCAGGGGTTC